AAAAAAAGAAATTAAATGTCCTACAAAATCTAAAATGTTAATACCACTTATAGAAAATCGTAATAAGACAAATAATATGCACGTAGATGAGATACTAGATCTCCTGATCTGCCAACTACCAAAACCTACTCTACTGGGAAAGTTCCAATAAATAAAAAAAAAATTGATGACTTGAAAAAGCTCTCGGAATATACTACAGATTATTCAAATTTTTATAATATTATTTTGAGTTGGCCAACATCAGCTCAGGAGGAAAGAATGGACGATTCAGATTATGAAGAACAGTAATAATAAATTAAAACATTTTAATTTGCATAAAAAATTTTTTTTTGATACTTTTAAATATCTGCTTGTAATAATTTAATTTGTAAAAGTTCATCAAAATTCTACTTTGTTAATTTTTTCTCTAATTAAATTTATTATTACCTTAAAACTAGAAAATTAATGTTGTAAATGTATTTTATTGCAGAAACACCATAACTGCAAAGAGTAAGGGTTTAAATTTACCTCTTCCCTTCAATCTTGGTGAGTATATGAGTATATTCAGTGTTATGTGTTGAACCTTCCTTTACTTCCACCAAGAAGGAAAAAAAAACTTTTGGAAAATGAGAAGTTTTTATTAATTTCTCGATAGTTTAAATTTCTGTACTTAAGGGGTTTCTGAAATAAACATAACAAAGAGTTACTCTTTTCCTTCATTAATTATAAACTTATTTGTCAAGAAAAAAAATAACAATTATACATTATTTTGGTAAATTACCTTTTTTTAAATTATCGAAAAAAAATTCTCTTCAGAATGATTAATCCTTTACGACTACAATTTCAAACAATGATTACATTCATTTTCATTGTAAAAATACATTTTTTTCGTTAACAAAATTAATATTATAAATATAATATTATTATTATTTCTAATGATTATAATAACATAAATAAAACTTTTAAAGTGACTTAATTAATAAATATAAGTGTTTTTTAAATTTAATCATTTTAAAAATTATTAATTTCAGCTGTTATTTAATAATGAACATTGTCAACAACTCAGGTAATCGTCAGAAAGCTACAAACGATGATTTTCAAGTTGGTAAGTTTTTCTATGAAATTTATAATTTGATATTAGTATTATAATGACAGAATAATAATTTTTATGCAATTCCAAATATGTTTTCTGTTTGCCATTCATAGGTAAATAATTTATCTTCGAATGACATAAAAAGTAAAGAAATCAGCTATACCTGAGTTAAATATTTATTATTTTTAATTTCTTATTGGATTTTATATTTTAACATTCTTGGTTGACACGTTATATTTATGTGTTATCAAGTTGTCTCAATTTTAAATTACATTCTTATAACCTTTGATCGTAATATTTGAATAAACCAAATATAAACTAAAAAGAAACGACATATAAAAGAAAAAAATATATCTCAAAATTATACAACTTTACATTTTTTCTGTATTTTAAAATTGATAGAACTTTTTTTTTTAGTATTGATTAAAATAATATTATAATAGAATATACTAAAAATAATAAGCTTTCTTTTTGTATGATATTTATAAATCTCCAATAAAAAACATAAGTAGAAGAGGGTTTGAAAAAGATCATCTACGCATGTCAATTTTTTTTTCATTTCAATTTTTGAAAATGTTCCAGAGGTCTTACAACTTCTGACTTATATCAATTTATAGCTTTTAAAGTGTACTACAATGTTGATAAAATATTTGTTCCGATGATTTTCTACTATTTGAAAATGACATTAATTTAAAAATAAAACTACGTTATTTTCAATCATGTGATTAATTTAACAAACACTTAAAATTCGAATGAAATTATAGAAATTATATAATAAAAATATACAAACTATGAAATTTAATAGATTAGCATCCAAGGGTTTTTTTATGATGATATCTGAATTTATTCGTTCCAAATTTTCCATGTCTCCTATGTACTGCGACCTCATTGTGTTGGGGTTTTTATGAAAAATAATTGATGTATTGATAAAAATATTTATTAAGAATTTATTTATGTTTTTCTTCTCATTATAAAATATAAAGGTATCACTGATTAGAGGGGGTCAAAAGTCCTAAAGATTAGTAGTATGTATAGTACCAGCCTGAAATTCATAATTCCTTTAAATATTAAAATTACTTTATCTCAAGTAATCTAAATATTACTATAGATACAATAAACATTTTTTTATAAAAAAATCTTAACAAATCTACTCATTGTTTTCTTATAATACATTATTATTATGTGTTTGCAGTTCGAATGGGTCGATACAAGGTTCCTCAATGGCCTAAAAAAGATCATTTAAATCCTAGTCATCGTCGTCCAAACTTTTCTAATACTAGCACTTCATCCTATGTCGGTCAAATATATTCTGCTTTTAAAATTGATAAAACACCAAATACTCCTGCAGTTATCACAGGAACGCCTGTGTTAAGATCTCATATTGCTTCATCATCTCATCAGTCAACTATAAATGACAGCGATATGGAGAAATTGTTTAACACAAAATTATATGATCGAGAAACGTCGAAAAATATTATTCATCAACAAGTTGTCGATATGGTGACTAATAGTACCCCACATAATTTTTTAATACCGCAGACATCGTTTGATCAAGTGCCCAAGTAAATATTATACCCAGTAATCGATCAAGGCTAATCTAATAAGTTCTGTTGAAATAATTCTCACATTATACTTTTGTAAATTTTTATACTAAAAAAAAATGAATTGCATTGTTGCAGTCTAGAGAGAATTGAGAGTGTTTATTACGCCTTTCTAGTGAGAATGTCTGTTGTGTATTTAAAATAATATAAGCTAGTATAAATTGAACTACTGTTGAATTTATATATTGAAGTAAAAAAATAAATTGATTATGAATTTTTAAAATAAATTTTAAACAAAAGAGCAAACCTTTTATTAACAAAAGAAAAAATATTTATGTATAATTAATTTATTGTTTATATAATTCATAAAATTTAATTTTAGTTTTTCTGGTCCGAAAAACAAAAATAAGCCGAACAATACCAGTATAAAACCTACATCATCTACCATTACATCAAAATTGTCAGAAAGTACTAAAAATATCATAAATAATAGTGTAATAATTGGTAAAAAATATAAATTTTTTACTAAGAAAAATTTAATTACTAAAAATTACGTATGTTTAAATTTAGTTTTGACTGAAGGAAGGTGTTCTTCTCAAGGAACAGTTGGATTGGCATCAATAGATCTTAAAAGGCCAGTCATAACACTTAGCCAAATAAATGATACACAAAACTATGTAAATACAATTACAAAGATAAATGTTTTAAATCCAGCTGAGGTTAGTATTTAGATAGTTGCTTCATTTGTACTGTGTTGAAGAAAAAGTTCTATTACTAAGTCGTTACTTAACCTTTTAGCTAGTGTAAATGCCAATTAACGTTTTCTTGATAACACAGTTATAATCAAATAGTGGATAGACAATAAATATTATCATAGTAAAACTTGATATTCTGGTAATGACGTATCTAGTTAGCTACGTTATTCATAGCAAAAACCCAACTACGTCTAGGTAGCTGAGTTTTTGTTTGGGGATGAGGGTAAAAACCTTTTTAACACGCTTATATTTGTTTCACCTGTATGTATGTATGTAACTCTCGAAACGTCATGCGTTATCGCATATTCCGTCGTCTATGGCCTTGAGACTAAACTGCGATAACGCATTCACCCCACCCCACGCCTCGCTCACCCCACGACGGCTACACTATTCCTGTATAAATTAATTTTGGTTACGGGTACCCGTACACGCGTGCTTGTCATCAATATTATATATATACAGGGTGTTCAGTAAGTCAGGAAACGGGTTTCTATTGCTCTCATTGTTTGTAATAATGAGAACAATAGATACCCGTTTCCTGACTTACTGAACACTCTGTATAAACAATTTTTAGCTTCGATGCGAAGCTGAGAAGGTATTGGTTTTACTAAGATGTGTTTTTTTTTTTTTTTTTTTTTGTGTCTGTTACCACTTTTTCTCAGCTCTCACCGAACCGATTTCTTTCAATGATACGTCAAAAGATCACAAATCGTATCTAGTCGAAGACATTACCCTTAAAAATTGAAAAAAATTCCCTCGTTCCCCGTAAAAGGGGGAAACCTCCAAAAAAATTACAAATTTAAAAATCGCTAATTTTCGAAATTTTTTCAATTTTTTTTACTTAAAAGTGCCATAACTTTTTCAAAAATAAACATATCAATATAATTCTTTTTTATATAGATGCATAATATCATTACCTTTCATTTGGTATATTTTTTTCATAAATTTAACCCTTAACCTGCCCACAAGGGGGGATTTAAAATGACAACTTTTTCACAAAAAATTAATTTTTTTAACTTAAATTTTGAAAATGTTCCGGAAGGTCTGACACTTTTATATATATCTTAAATTAAAGCTAATGTAATATGCTTTATCATGAAAAAAAAAAATTTCGGACTTTATCTTATCTTCATGGTGAAAATGGCTACCGAATGCTATTTTTGTGTGAAAATTTTCGATTTTGTATTTTCCATTTTTAACTTTATTATGCTATAACTTTTTGAAAAATGTATGAATCATTACAATTTTTTTATGAGAAGTAGTATTTATATAGATCTTTCATTCGACATACTGTTTTTTTAAATCGGACCATTTCCCTAAATACAGGGGGGATTCAAAACATAAAAATGCATATAGAAAGTAGAACTTTTTCAACGTAACTTTTGAAAGTGTTCCGGAAGGTCTGACACTTTTATATATATCTTAAATTAAAGCTAATGTAATATACTTTATAATGGTAAAAAAAAATTTCGGACTTTATTTTATCTTCACGGTGAAAATGGCTACCGAATGCTATTATTGTGTGAAAATTTTCGATTTTGAATTTTACATTTTTAACTTTATTATGCTATAACTTTTTGAAAAATGTATGGATCAACATTATTTTTTTATGAGAAATAATATTTTTTAATAATCCCTTTTTCATTCTACATACTTTATCTTAATTGGGATATTAATAATGAACTAGCAGATCATGTAGCTTTTGGAATAGTCCATCAATTTTTTTAAATTAAACAGTATCTAAAGATTTGCATCGAAGCGTTTTTTTTTTATAGTGATTTTAATCACTGTCAGATATCATTATACTTGATCCATCTATGCCACGTCACCACTGTGCCGCGACCCCCCTGTGCTGGGTTGTTTTTTTGTTTATTATTAGATATAAACATTTAAAGATTTTCAAAAAGATTCAAATTTTTTTGAGTTAATATACATGTATAATACATAAAAGATCACAAAATACAGGTAGCAAATTGGTTTTTTATATTCGCAGGTCTATAGCCTTTATTATCAATAGTCATAAGACACATTGTGGTGAGTTTATAAATACACTAAATGGCAATACAGAAATTATATCTATTGATAGTCATAATTTACAATAAACTCTCCGTGATTGTGACAGCGATGTCATAAAAAACTAAAAAGTGAAAAATAAACACAGTTTAAAAAAACTGAAAAACACTCTTTTAAAGCAAATTAAACTAAAAAATTAAAAATAATTTTTAATATAAGCTTAAACAATAATGAACGAATACTAGCATTATTGTGAAAAAAAGCGTGGGGCTTTGTACCATATTTTTCGTATATTGAGTGCCCTACGCTTTTTTTCACTATAATACTAGTATTTTTCGTTCATTATTGTTTTAAACTTATTTTAAAAATTATTTTTAACTTTTTAGTTCCATATACTTTAAAAGCGTGTTTTTTCAGTTTTTTTAAACTATATTTATTTATTGTTTGACTTATAATATGCTTATACAATCGGAGTAGTGTTGCCAAGTATAAATTCATAATATTCAATAGATTATATTATTAAATCTATCAAATTACACTAAATTATCTCAAAATTCCATTAAAAAAATAAGTTAAGATCTATTTTACATATAGAAAATAGGTGCGCATAAATAATAAAAATAAGACTCGAATATTTCTTACGTCCTATATTTCAGTAATCTTGACAAGAATAATTTGTATAAATTTTATCACAGCATTTAACTTTTAGTTATATTATGGTTTACTTATTTTACCGTGTGAAAAAAAATTGTTCTTAGAGGTGGTCACATTCTTAAATACTGTATTTACAGTGATAAATTATCAGTAATGTTTATGATAAAAAATACGAGTAGAGATGATAAGGAGATAAGACTACAGATATTTATCAAATAGCCATTTGTTTACGTTCTATAACTGATTGAAATCATAATCCTTTAACTATTAGACAGATTATGAATGGTCGGAGAGCGAATAAATGTGGTCACTGCTATCGACGTAGTAGTACCACAGAATAGATAAAACCAGAAGTGACACTCTTAGTTTTTGCTGATAACAAGCTTATGTCGCTCAGTGTAGCCACTTAAGAAAAAAAAATGTATTCCCTTTTTTCTTTATATACGGTCACATTGTTCAACACCATTATTAATGGTTTGTTTGTAAACACAATGTTTATAAACATGGTTTATTGGTAAATATGAAAAATATATGGTAAATATTGGTATTAATGAATTAGAAAATATTTTTATTAATAACTTTTCCACACTTGCTATTGTAGATGGAGTTGGAGCCGAATTAAAAAATTATTTTTGTAATGTACCTTTTAACCACCCTTGTAAATGTTTTGATAAATTGTATTTAATTAATTTGTTTACAAGATTTAGAATATTTACAGCTATAAAATTTTTAAATAAAAATTTAATGTCTAAGAAAAAAATTAAAAATAGGAAATTGTCTATTTTAACTCATCTATAAATTATTTATTTATGTATATGATATTTGTAAATTATTGTAATATATGTTTTAAATAAATTTAATATTATGTGGATATTGAATAATTTTTTTTTCCTAAATAAGTCTTTATTAAATATACATAAAATAAAAAATATATTAAACAAACTAATTACACATAATGAAAACATAAATTGAAAGTTTTAAAATGGTGTTATATGTTTAGAAATAATAATAAAATAAATCCAAAAAATTTACTATGCAAATTTTCTAAAATAATTAGCATGTAAATAATACATTTAGAGTTCAAATCAACCGCCGATGTACAATTATTGTACAGTACAATGAATTATATGCATACAATTATTTATTTTATTGTTTTTGTGGTAACACTGAGCGACATAAGCTCAAAATTACCGTACTCCCATAAGAATACATGTAATTTTTTTATCAGTGTCCATTCTGGTTTAATCTATTCTGTGGTAGTACTGCAATTACCGGTACCGTAAGTCATGTATAAATTTAATGTATTATGATTTATTCATCTTTAAAAGAAATTATATTATAATACAACATTATTATACAATATAATGCAACTATTTTACACAAGTAAAATTCATATAAGGGTCTGAGCGGGAATTATATTGACTTTTGATAATTATTATTATCACTCCAAAATTTGTCATTGAAAAATAACGTACTGGCAAAAGGGTTAAGATACAACGTTACTTATTTTTCTTTTTATCTGATGTTTAAACAATTAAATTATAGGTTTTTATGCACATTTTGTTACATAACGTTTCTTTTTTCTTCTCCTAAAATAACATTGTTATAGATTGTTGTACCAGATACATTTATGGAAATGACTCAAGGAACTGTTATGTATAATTTGATAAAAGATCAATTTCCTTCGAGTACTATGGTAACAGCATTAAGAAAACATTTCTGTAGTAATCAAGGAAAAGTATATTTAAAGAATGCGGTTTTATCGGAGTGTTTGTCAGTTTTAGAGCAAACCTTAACTAAGTACGAATGTTTTGAATTGACATTGTTCTAGAGAAATATTTTTCACGTCAATTTATTTTTGATATAGATATTATGCGTTGGCTGCTGCGGCGGCTTTGTTTAAATATATTGAATTTCAACACAATACAATTTTTTCATCAAACACTTTACAACTAGAATATGTTGGAGTTGAAAAATCAATGTTTATTGGTATTAAATATACAGTATAAATATAGATCTAAATATCAAGACTTATAGCTTTTAATCCCATCATTTCGTTATATATATATATATAAACAAATATTGCCTTTTTAGTAGGTCTGTACGATTATTATTTTTTGGCTCGATTATCGATTATTTATTAATATTTTTACATGTAGATAGAAAATGGACTGCACCGAAGAATGTCTAATGATATAAATATTAAACCCGCGTCTCTCCCCCAGTTTTTATTTTAAAATCGTCATAACTTTTGAAGTACTGGTCCAAAATTGTTATCGATCCACCCCACTTTCTTAATTTGATCATTTCTTATAATTAAGGCTAGGTAAATATGTACGTTGTCGTTCAAAAAATTACATCGACACCCCTACAAGTTATAAGGAATAATTCGATTAAATATTTGAAAATTTAAGAACTATATTTAACTAAAAAAAAAAAAATTTATTGTATTTATTTTAAGAGTAATTCAATTGTTCTTTTAGCGGATAACACTATATTGAAGTTACATTTTTGGAATGAGTAATGATAAAATTAGGTGTTAAAATCTTAGAGGTTATTATTAGAGTAACTATTCAATAACCCTGTATATCAGGAGTAAAATTGAAAGTAATGTCCTAAAATAGACTTTCAAATATTAGTACAGATTTTGTATTATGCACTAAATCCCATAATTGCTTGTTCAATCATATAATCATAATAATAATAATTTCTATTGTTGTTTTTAAATAGATGCAAATTCAGCATTGAGACTTGAATTAGTGATAAATAATTTGACAAGAAGTTCAAAAAATACCTTATATGATGTATTAAACTATTGTAGTACTTTCGGTGGTAAGCGTAGACTTAGGGCTTCTATTTTACAACCTTCAAGTGATATTCAATTTATATTTAAACGTCAAATGGCCGTTGAAGAAATTAGAGAGGTTGAAGAAGGCGATTTAAATTTATTAACAGTAAAGTTACTAATATAAATCATTTTAATATATTAAAATAACTTTAGGTTTTGAAAGTAATTGTCGGTGTAATATAAAACGTTAATTTTAGAAAACAGTTGAAAAGTTCTCTGACGTAGAAAAATTATATTGGTTATGTACCAAAGTACCCAAAGACAGCTTGAGTATGTCAAAATTACAAGGAAATTACACATTATTATTAAAATCTGCTTTGGACGCATTGCCTACGCTTGTCAATATGTTGAAACCGTTCCAATCTGAAATTTTATTAGAGATACATAAGGTTTGTGTCATTTAATAAGTCATAAAACATAAAAATATCTAATCAACAATCAAATTAATACATTTAGGTATTATCTAACAAAGAATATTCAAAAATGCTCGAAATTATTGAAATCACTATAAACAATGAATCTATTAGATCTAGAGGATATTCTCAATCGCAATTTCAAAGATGTTTTGCCATTAGATCTAACCTAAATATCCAATTAGATCTTTACCGAACAACATATTCTAAGTTAATAAGTCAGTTTCAAGGTATGTATATAGTTTATAATTATTCCTTTTAAAATGTATACACCTAAAAGAAAAGAACTTGATTACACTAACTTGTTTTAATTTTAGATAATGTATATGAATTGGGTGAACTATTTATGACCGATGGTTTAATTATGAATAATTCTGCAAATAGAGGATTCCACGTTCACTTATATTTAAAAAACGCCGGACGATTTGATGTTAATAAACCCCCGAGTATATGTAAAAATGTAAAGTTTCATATTTTCAATAAATGGATTTCATTAATATAAATTTAAATAATTGGACTAATATTCGTTAAACCGTCATTTATAATTAAACTTAATTGTTTTAAAAGGTAGAAAAAACTAAAACCTTCATTAAATTTACAACCACAGAATTACTAGAGCTTAACTATCGCATAAATCAAACGCTGAATGAAATAGAAGCGCTAACTAATGAGTACTAAAAAATCATGAAATTCATAAAGTATATATGATTTGTGCTTAAGATAAATCATTTGGTTATTTTTTTATTAGAATTTTGTATGAAATGTTACAAGAATTAAGAAAATACATTGGACGTGTTTATGATTTATGCAATAGTATTGCAGATTTGGATTTAATTTTATCATTTGTGAAATTCAGTAAACGATCTGGATTGTGTAGACCAACGTTTGGACAAAACATTGATGTTGTTAATAGCAAACATCCTATATTACAGTTAGTTTGCGAAGCAGTAGGAAATGATGTCGTATGTATTTGTTCAAGATTATTTTAATAACATAAAATATTCATTTAAAAACTAATACAACAAAATATTATTATGAATACTAATCGCAATAGTAGCGTAACTAGGATTTTATCTTAGAGGTATAAAAAATAAAGTATTCTCTATTTCCTCCAAAAAACAAAACGATAGCACAGTGGGGTCACGGCATAGTTGGGATGATTATAAATGATATATATATATTACAATCACTACTATAAAAAACGTTTCGATATGTATCTTTTAGTTTTTAATTTTAAGATTAGTGGATTATTCCAAAAGCAACATAATTTCCTATTTACAAAATTATATATATTTAATAAATTTGTTCAACTTCGACAGCCATTTGCACATAGAAGCTAGGTCGTTGGGAAAATTTTTTTTAAATTTATAGTTAAAGTTTTTAATTGAAAAAATTGATTTTTGTGAAAAAGTTGCTATTATAAATCCCCGCTTGCGAGGGGGATGAAAATAGACAGGGTTTCAACAAAATTATATCGAATAAAAGAAAAAAACATAAGGTGTCTATATAAAAAAAAATTAGTTTGACTAGTTCATTTTTGAAAATGTTATGGCAGTTTTAAAAACAAAAAAAATGTCAAAATTTACCAATTTTAAAAATTGTAATTTTTTTGGAGATTTCCTCCATTTACAGAAAACGAGGGAAAATTTTTCAATTAAAAAAAAACAATAAAATTAATACCATCTCAGCTTTGCATCCTGTTACATTATTTGTATTGTAGGAATATGATCTCCATACCCTTCCCCATAGTTCGCTATTGATTTAATAATAATAAGTAATAAATAAATAAAATAATCATGTCGCAATTAATAATTATAATTAGTTTGGATCATCAGACAAAAATTTGATAATAATAACTGGACCGAATATGGGCGGAAAAAGTATTTATATTCGACAAATAGCTTTATTACAAATAATGGCTCAAGTTAGTAAAATGATAATTTATGTCAAAAAAATTTATAAAATATTTTTCATAAATATATTTTTGATTAAGATTGGTTGCTATGTTCCGGCTACAAAAGCTCAATTTCGGATTTGTGATAGATTGCTCACAAGACTAACTTTTAGTGATAGTATTGAAACAAACGCTTCTACTTGGGTTCTAGAAGTAGGCTTGTTTCCTTTAAAACTAATAATCTGTTTGTATAAATAAGTGTTATGGTTTAGATAAAGGAAATAAATAGTTTTTTTCAAGCAATTACAAATCACAGCCTAGTAATTATTGACGAATTATGTCGAGGTACAACGTCAGAAGAAGGATCTAGTTTAGCTTGGGCCATCTGTGAACAATTGATGCAATCGCGTGCTATTATTTATGTAGCCACTCACAGCGTTCTTCTAACAAAGTTAAATAATATTTACTGCAATGTTGAAAAGTAATAAAAACTGTCAATTTTTTTATTATTTTTTAACAAGGTCAATGTTAGTACATAGATCTATATTATTATATATAGTATTCACATTTTGTTTTGTTATAGAGTACTTGGTAATTGGAATTGTAATATAATTGTACTATACCTATTATTTGACTCAGCCTGCTTTATTTTTGTTTTAGAGTTGATAAAAAAAATCCTTTATTTATAATAATGACTAATATCAAACAATACATTATTATTTTAGCTTTTGTATGGAAGCATTATTATCATCAGATTCGGCTAGTGGGCTTGAATATACATACAAATTAAAGCCTGAAGTAACACCTATCAGTCACTATGGATTAGCATTGGCAAGAGATTTAAATTTTCCTCCCTTTTTAGTAGACTATGCTGCTGAAATAGAAGAATGTTTGTATAACTCCGAAGCAGTAAGTTAGATCGTTCTAAAAAACAATTGTCTTTTTATTCTAAATAATTTAAAAACGTATTGATACCTCATTAACAATTTCTTTAACAATATTGACTTAAAGTGTGTTGTTAACGTAATTTAAACAAAATTTAACATGATCAAAGCACTTACTACGCGAATGCACTTTAAATTTCACTATTCATTATATTACGGAAAAAAAAATCCTAAATATTGGGTACTGAGCACATAACCTGTTGAATAAAATAGTTTATGTAATAAAATATTTGGAAATTGTTCGTAATATAATAGTATATAATATAATATATCAGAACATATAATATAAGAGATGTACAACCTCATTTGGTCGCTTAACTTGATAGCCAACGAATAACAACTAAATCTTATACATTTATACAAAAGGCTGTATTGAGTAAAATGACATAACATAATGTGACCTTTTTGGCTTTGTACTATACTAACATAAGAAAAATACATTTTTAACACTTATCTTAAATTCACTAAAATAATATTACTGGATCACTATGTTGATTAATATCAATATACTTCAAATTTTGTTTTAAATCAATATGTATTTTGATTGATACAATAATAATGTTGCATTTTTAAAAAGGAGTTGCCGGATTACCCTTCAAACGAAGTCGATAGAGCAATGGATAATTTAGTCATTGAATTTTTACGTTTAAAAGATATTGAACACATTGATGCAGATATTATTATAAGTCTTACGAAAAAGATGTTAGAGGATTTAGAAAACAATAGCGATATTACTTCTGACAAATGCGAATCATCATATCTATCAACTCAAAATGTAGTATCATTTGCTCCTATTCAACACTTGGGAACGTTTGAAAATGATATAAATGTAAATAAGTCTGAAGAAATTTAACTTTAAAAATGTTACTAGAGTATTACTTGCTTTAGAGTTTTTGATAATTTCAATTGATTATATAAAAACTCAACATTATTTTATTAATTTAAAAATTCTATGTTGAAGATATTTTAAAGAAAAGTAATAATTAATAATTAATATTTTAGTTATAACTTATCAAAAATAAATAATCTAGTTTTTTTGACATTATCAATGTAAATTTTAGACAGAATCCCCATTAAAAATTTAAAAAGTCAAATATAAAGAAAATCCTTACTTATGCAGACTTAATACTTTTTAATAGATTAATAAATCTAGTTCATTAGGGTAAGTTTTTATACCTACCCACTATAGTTAAGTAGAATATTAAGTATTAGTTATGAATTTATTATTTTAAAATTTAAGTATTTTGACCAAAAATGGTAAAAAATTAGATGAATGCATTGCAAGTGTGCTTCTTGTCGGTCTACAACAACAACATGGTTTGCCACTTGCACAAAGACTAACAAGGGTCACCACCACCTAAGTGAGTTGTCACATCTATCAGATATGATTACCGAAACATAGCTGGAATTCAATTTTAAGTTAATAAATAATTTCAATTAAGTTTATATTTCGTTAAATGTATAAATTATTACAACACCTCGTGTTTTTTTAACCATAACTGATAACACTAGTTTAAAAATAAAAAAAATGTTCTGACCTATGACTTATGATAGTCATTTTTTAAGTAAAATCGTCCACTGAGTACGAAAATGAAGTCCAAAATACAAAAAGTAGAATAGTATTTGAGTTATTGTGACATTAGCGATTTTCTTATGCCCCAAAAAAGTGTTTTCATTATATTCTAAATATCTTTAGTTGCATTCAACCGATTTTCATTTTTTTTTACATAAAATTAAACAATATTAAATTATCTATAACTTTTATCTTTAACAATTTTTTATCTGACATTTTTCTCGTTTGCTATGTACGAATTTACCACTGACTTTTAATCATTTTTTTCAAAATGTCAGAAAAAATTCAGAGTTTTACGTAAAATACACCAACAAAAAATAAATGTATCAACAATATATTCAATAGACGTTATACTCTAATACATAACAAAGAAAATGATATATTATTTTGTAATATTGATAAAAAAATGAAGAAGTTATGCGCGTTTGAAAAAATAAAACAAATTTCCTAATATCAGAGTTTTTTAATTCGATGCTTTAACTTTGTAAAATACAGAAAAAAATTTTGAAAAATTACTCACAATATTACTTTTCAAAACAAAATTTCGATTTTTTAAATAACTTAAGGTTGTTTCCTTCAAAATGAAATTTTGAATTACGAAAAAAAAATTTCACCTTGGCCTCACTGCTCATCCTTAATTGGTAGCACTGAACATTTTGTCGTTTGAAATTAAACGGATAAATTTATTTTATTCATAGAAGCGTTCTATATTCTATTAATATATTCATTTTTTTAATTTTGCATCAGACAAATTTGGAAATACAGCTTTCAAATAAGTAAATAAATTTTCATTTTTATTTAAAGCTTTAACAAAATATTAAAAAAGTCCTAGTTTAATATCTAAAGGTGGCAGGATTATTTAATTTTTTTTAACAAGAGGATTGAATTTGACATTTTCTTTGCCCACTGTAAAGTTTAGTTGATCTGGCCAATATTTTCATGTGTAATGTTCTTGACGTACTCGAATATCTCATATACAAAAAACACATATATTTTCTTGGAGTACATTGAAACTGATTACCATTGTTTCCATCTTTAAAGTGATTTATTAATTCAATATTGTGAGATAAACTTACATGGGTTTATTTTTTTGGGAAGAATATTAATTTGATGGAAGTCTTAAAATAATTTATATTATAGTAAGAAGCAATTATGATAAAAACCACAATTTTTGATATGTCCGTTTAATAAGTTTTCCTATGAAAGTTTTCAAAATTACTCAATAAAATTCCTAATAGTCTTATTTTTCATGATAAAATAAAATATTTCACTTTTATATTTTAAACTTCAGTTAAAATTTTTAATAGTAATATTTTAACATAATTACCGAATGAATTCTACATCAGTTCTAATTAATAATTTGATAGAAAATTATTTGTTTTTTAGGAAGTTAGTAGTTTTAGGGATGTTAAATGTAATTTCCCCTAATTTAAAAAATATTTTTATAAAATTATTACTGCAAATGTTCAAAATATTTAGCTAAGCACCAATAATATTTATGCCAATGGTTATTTATCGTTAGATTAGCATTCACTGTAAAACACAATGACCTATAAGACAAAAACAAATAAACGAGTACATTCCATGAACGATTTAAAATAAAATACATTAGATTATCCTTTACCTTTAACAGTGATAAAATTGTTATATTTGGGTACGAATATTCGATATTTTATGTCAAACATACACTAATTATTCTATGCTATACGATTAGTGACATCAAATTTAGACATTCATGGGATATTTAAAACAAAAATTGACATTTCAAAAGGATATCTATATCTGTCTACTTCTCACTGATGAAACTTTTGAACGATTTCACATAGAAGTTATCTCTGTCTCACTTATTTTTAATAAATTTTAATAAAACAAATACAATATAAATAACTACTGCTGAAGTCCCAGTGGAATTAGGCGTAGGTTTTTGTATAATGCATACCGTTGACATGATAGTGTTAGAATCCATCATGCTGTGCCCGTAAGTTTTTTGTTAGCTTTCAAGCTGAGAAGGTATTAATTTTACTATGATGTGTTTTTTTTTTTTTGTGTCTGTTATCACTTTTTCTCAGCTCTCGCCGAATCGATTTTTTTCAATAATATGTCAAAAGATCACAAATCGTATCTAGTCGAAGACATTACCCTCAAAAATTGAAAAAACTTCCCTCGTTCCCCGTAAAAGGGGGAAACATCCAAAAAAATATCAAATTTAGAATTCGCTAATTTTCGAAATTTTTTTTACTTAAAACACTATAACTTTTTCAAAAATGACTAAATTAATATAATTTTTTTTATAGATGCATGATGTTTTTACTTATCATTTAGTATATTTATTTTATAAATTTGACCCTTTACCTGCTCACAGGAGATAATTCAAAATGACAATTTTTTCACCAAAAATTAATTTTTTCAACTTGACATTTGAAATTGTTCCGGAAAGTCTGTCACTTATATATATATATCTTAAATTAAAGCTAATGTAACTTTATCATGGAAAAAATAAATTCGGACATTATTTTGTCTTCACGGTGAAAATGGCTTCCAAATGCTATTTTTGTTTGAAAATTCTTGATTTTATATTTTACATTTTTAACTTTATAATGCTATAACTTTTTGAAAAGTGTATGGATCAACATAATTTTTTTATGAGAAATAATATTTTTCAAAAATCCCTTTTTCATTCGACATACTTTATTTTAATCAGGATATTAATAAGGAACTAGCAGATCATGTAGCTTTTGGAATAATCCACCAATTTTTTAAAATTAAACACTATCTAATGATTTGCATCGAAGCGTTTTTTTTTTATAGTGATTTTAATCACTGTCAGATATTATTATACTTAATCCAACTATGCCACGACCCCCCTGTGCTGGGGTTTTTTTTTTATTATTTAACTGGACCTTCACAAAATTTAAGCTTACCCAAAATAATTTAGTTACAGAATAAGAAATATTAATTAAACTTGTAATTTTTAGCTATTTATTTCATCCAAAATAGGATACTCAAAGCTACGTACAATAATGTAATAACATAATAACAAAATAAAAGAGAGAAAATGAAATCCACATACTTAGTGTATTTTATTAAGAATTTTTTTTTGATATTAAATTAATCACATGTATTTATTACAAGATGATTCAAATGAAGAGATTAAATAAATGACTTAGGGGGTTGACATTATGTATTATTTAGCGTAAAAAAAAATAATTTACAACTAAAAAAGTAGCAAATATTTAATATCCATTATGTACAAGAAAAATATGTAAAATTTATGTAAACAAATCAATAAGTAAAAAGTGTATAATAGTTATTATCATAGGCATAGTAGAGAGCAGGCTACGCCTCCTAAAAGTTGTCATAGCCCCTCACAATTAAAACAAATTTAGGGTGGGGAAAAATCAACTTACTTAAAATCTCACTTAAAACTTTTCATAAATGTGTGTAAATGGTTATTCTTTATATTCAGTATTAAATTTTGGTTCAATAAAAATTTATCTAGAATTATACAAACATCTTATTGACTATTTTTATGAAAACATTAAAATTATTACACTAACAAACACTTTTTAATAATTGTTTACATTTTCATGTAAAAAATAAACTTTGGTCCTGATATAACTGAATGAATCTTAAAATTATGCTTCTAAATCTTAAAATAGAATAAAATACACATTATGACAATACATATCTTAAAGAACTTGCATTATTATATAAATGACAGAAATTTTTTAATTTTGATGTGATCACTATAAAATTATTTTATAAATGTAAATTAATAAATGAAAACTAGAGAGTGGATTCATATGCATTTATTAATTTTGTTTGAGCCATTTTAAAAGGACTCAGTTTGTGCAAATTTGTTGATGGAACATACAGTAGTGTAGAAATATTTATCATTTTAGAATGGAATATGTCCCGTAATCAACTTCAACGCTATAACTACAGTTAGATCACATTACTAAGTTTTCAAGCCTATTAATACAATATTTTACTGGATGATGATGTGTTTTTGGAATAACTTAACAAAATTTATAAATTTATAAAAATCCACATTCTAATGGAAACTAATAACAAGGTATTTTAAGCCTAAAAATAGTTGCAGTGAATTATCAAAATCAGCTAATAATGTTAACTATGATGACTAATTATTTGGGAATACATGAAACACAAATATTAGATAAATGTGAAAATATGAGATACATTAAATCTAAAAATATAGAAAAAATCATGCATTTACAAGCTTTGCATGTCAACTAAATTAGAATCTGTAATGGCTGTGATATTTAAATGAGTGTTGCGTTCTGTTTTTGAAATAAAATTTTTTTTTATTAGTTTCATCACTTTTTTGTTACACACAAAAATATAAAATATTAGTAATCCTTGTGATGCATTTCCAATGTCTGTTAGGCGCCAAATAGGATGATGTTGACCTGAAGCCCAAGAAAATATATCTGTGAGCCAATTTAATCCCATAATGAAAAAAAGTTTAAAATATAAGGTGAACCTACAAAAAATATGCATATTTCATTAACAAATATAAAGTGGAATAGGGGGAAAATGTTTAATACCTTTGGGTTATAGTGATCATATAGCTTTAAAAAATACCTTTACAGTATACTTGGTGTGATGTAAAATCAAAAATTTTGTATTTAAATAGCAATTATAATTTAATCACTTTGAATTGAAATAAAGATCTAACACCAAATTTTTTATGAGAATGCTTAGATAGATGAGTGGGGTTACTAGAGGGATAGAAAAATGAATAAACATATAAGAGGAAGTATAGGTGTAGCATCAATTGTGAATCATGAATATTGAATATTTAAAAAATTAATATTGAAGGAAGAAAAGGTAGAAGAAGACGAAAATGAGATAGAGGGATGTTATTGAATGAAATATGAGGACAGATGATGCGAGTGTAAATGATGTGGAAGATTGTGTTAAGTAGAAGTTTAGGATAAGGATAGACGACCCCATGTAGTTGGGATTAAGGCGAAGTAAAAGAAGATCTAACTTCAAATTTTAAATTCTTTTAAAAGACAAATAATATGTGTATTTTTTACATATATTTCATTTATTCTGCTTATTTATTATAATTAAATGAGTTAAATTAATTTATAAAATAATTTATTTTATTTGGAATTAGACCAATTGTTTTTTTTATTTTGAAATTGGACTCCTGTTCTAACAAAAATGAAAAAAAAATAAAGTTTTATTTGTTTTAGGATTTTCCTAAATATTCAAATATTTGTTTGGATAAAAAATATAACACATTTAATCAAAATAATATTTTGATAATATCGCTGCACTTAATAGTAATTATCAAAATTAAAATAAAAAATAATAATTACATTAAAAAATGATACACATAGAAAAACCATTTTGCATAATACTAAATAGGACCTAAACAATAACATTGTTCTATTAAGATATCAAATGATGTTCCCAACTATAGGTAGGTAATTTTAACTTTTGTTCTTAATACTTTTTAAAATAACTTTTTTTCATTATTTATGTAATTGAATTTATAGTTATTTTAATCTTGTTCTACTCCATGCAAAGGACAATTTTTTTTTTATTATTATTTTCATTTAAAACTTTAAAAATTAATTACTTAGAGAAATAAAACATAATTTTGATAATATGTAGAATAAAAATATTATCTTAAAAATATTAAACTGATAGTTTAAAAAATTTAATATAAATATATTTTTAAAGAGTTCAAGATCTCTAAAGTTTTAGGAAAGATATGAGGTCAGTTTTGCTCCACTTTTCCTTTATTTTTATCATAAAATATACTTCTACAAAAATACACAATACGAATATTGTATTTTATCAGTGTACCTTATTGTTTTTTTGTTTTTATTTGAATCGCTTTCTGATCCTTGAAGTATTTTTGAATTTTTTATTTGTGTAACCATGATTAGAACAGCAGTATATATAAACATTAATAAATTACTAGTCAACAAAATTCCAATAGGTCCATAATAATACAAAAGTTCTGCGGTTTTTGCTAAAATTAATAATAAGAATATTACCTTAATGTTTGTACTTTAATTTCAATTTATTTAGCAATAATAAAATATTAATTTTACTAAATATTTTTTTTCAGTAAATATTAAAATATAAAATGTTAGTTTTTTTTTATAGAAAATATTAACTGCTTCTGTGTAAATTTTATTTTGTCATTAACACTATAATTAGTAATTTAAATTAAGAGTCAGCTAGAATAAAAACAAAATCAAAATGATGTTGGTAATTAAGCAATTATTAAAAAATTTCAGCAATAAATCATACCGAATAATTAAGTTTTAAATACTTACAATAAAACCAACATCCTTTTCTTCCAAATTGTGGTCTTAAAGTAGCTTTAACTATATTTGATGATAATTCAATTGACAGTGTAACAATTAAAATTATGATTGGACAACCCCAAGCATAAATGGAATAAAATATAAACTGTCTTGAATCTCGCTCTTTAGTATGTATTCTTATTAATCTATAACCAATGATTAAAAATAAGTTACAATACATGTAATTTAATTTTTAAACAGATCTCATAAATTTTTTTACCCCTTATTAAACATTTCTGTTACACCACTGAATTTAGATGTTTTTAAAAAATATATTCTTACTTATTATTATACTAATAATTACAATGTATTAAAAATCTAATTGATAATTTAAGTGAAAGTATATAATATTGGGGTTAAGTAATACTATAGTCACCTGAATGTCCGCCATAAATCTAAACACATAACATTTAACCAGAAAAAACTAGCCAAGAATGAAAATTGAAATGTAAGTGCTAAAAAATATAATATATTTTACAAATTAATAATAATAATAAAAAAAATATTTGTTTATAGTTTTTTTTTTTTAATTTGTAAATATCTAAGCAAAAATGATCAAACCTATTACTATGCAAATATGTTGTGGTTTTTTAAAAGGGTCGGTTGAAGCTATAAACAAGTTTATATATGACAAAGAAAGAGATCCGACATAACACATAAGGTTCTTGCCATGTAAATTTCTTAATTCCCTAATAAGGGAATATACTAAGAAAGTAGCAAAACAACATATAAGAGATAGAATCAAAGCTACCCTTGAAATGATAGTCATTACAAAAGATTTTTTGTTTTTTTGTACATTCTTGATAGTTAAGTTTTCTGATTTTTTACATACTAATGGCAGAACTCGAAAACTTGAATCATAAATATAATCCATACAATAAAGTTGATCTGAAATTTTATCACCATTTTGTTGTATTAATAGACCAGTATTTGTAATATTAAAATAATCATTGGTTTTTTTCTGTGGTTCTAGTACATAAAGGCTGGTATTACACTTTGGTTTTCCGTAAAGAATATGAAATCTGTTTTCTTCATGTTCTCCAATAAAACCAAATGCATTAACAAATTTTGGGATCTGAAAATAACATTTTGAAGTAAATTATACAGAAATGAGATGATTTATGATTTAATTTATAAATTATAATTTATTTATTTAATGAATAATAATGGGAAAAGTTTTTTGATATTTGAACAAGGTAAAGCAGTTAATTTTAATTGAACATTTTCTAATTTGATTGATTATTATTTCACTTACTTTAAAAGTAGGATATGTTGATTCGTTTCGTTTTATGCATCCATTAGGCCCATATATACTATTATTTCTACAACACTTACGAAAACACTGTTCTACTTCACAAATACAGAGTTTATATCCTGACTTGACTTTACGGTATGCTGATTTTGGATAAGTTTTTGGCTGCTGGTCTTTAGTCCATAGTGCGTCACCCATTAATGTGACATTGTCCAGTGGAAGTACTAACGTCTTATTCATCTTGCACCACGTTGAGCTGTTATTAAAATTTCCATTTCCAAAAATGTTTGAAATTGATATTACTACAAAAAATAATAATAACGTGTAAGAATTGTACATTATAAAACTAAAATTGAAAGCCAAATTAATATTGATCAACTTTAAATTGTAATCGGCATCACGTGACCTATATGTATGTTTTGATTAAGTTAACGTGATATTGAAGTGTTATTTAAATTTGTATAGGTAAATGGAGATTAAACAATTCGAAAAAATATATCGTAGCATTTTGTTTCAGTATTATTATCTCATGAAACGCTAAACTCCCTCTAATATTTCTTACTAACCTGATCAGCTACCTAACATAAGATAAACGTCCTGTGGCGTTCACAAAGAATTACTCAACCTGTACCTATGTACTGGTTATAATTATATATGAATAGTGAAACTTTCATTGCATTTTGAATCAATGCCATTAAAACTAACAGACTCATTTCCACAGACCCACAAGGTCATTTCATTAAATATATTTTAATAATATGATTTTTTTTTTATTTAATAAAATTACTAAAAGAATATTTCATGAACATAATTTTAAATATACACTTAACATCGTTATTTCAGGTAATTTTTTTTAAGTCAAATATTTCAATGACAAAGTGAATAAATGTACAAAAAATGAAAATGCATATCTTAATTAAAATGAATTATTTGATTATAAATAATAATAGCAAGTAATAGTTTTTTTTATTAAATTTTAACTATTTATTCTTCTTCTAATTAATAAATCAAACAAATTACAAAAGGAATAGGTAGTAAAACCTTTTTCCTCTTTCTTGTTATGAAAGGCAACCAGACTTCTAACAAACTTATGATTTAAATATAAATTGTTTTAAAATATTAAATACATTTTTATTAAAATTAAACATAAATGATATAAAAAAAAAATTGTAACATAACTATAATCTAATGATATGTATACATATCAATAGTATGTAAAATCTACAATTAGTGAAATAATGATTCGGGTACCAATTATGGTTCATGTAAATTTAAAATTCCGACTAAAAAAAAATAAAAGTAAAGGTACCGAAACCAGTAATAACCAGTTATTGAAAATTTAGGCCAATAAAGTTTTTTTGCAAAAAAAAGCCTTATTTAGTTAATTATAATTCTTGATGTTTCAATTATTAGGTACATTGTAAATGTGTCAACTTTATATTTTAATGACAACATACATATTTACTTAGATCATATAATAAGAATTTATCGAATTAAGCAAATGAGTGGGTCGACAACAACTTTTGACCCATTATTTTAGAAGTTATTACAATTTTAAAATATTGACTAGAGGTGTGACAATATTAATCATCAGACATTTCTCGTCGTCATCCCTCCTATCGCCTTGATGTAAAAATGTTAATAACTTTCTAAGTACTAGTCCAACAAGGTTTATAAGTTATATTATTTATTACAATTTAAAACCTTGCTGGTCTAAAAGTTGTTATCGACCATTTTCTTAATTTGATCATTTTTAATTTATAAGCTAATTAAATATGTCTGTTATCATCTAAAAAATAAAGTTGACTACTTCATAAGGTATAAGGGATTAATAGAAAAAGTAATTAATAACTAATAAATCAAAAAATATAAGAAACTGAAAAATCCTTGCTTCTGTGTAATATATTTTTGAAAACATAATAAATGTGTATCAATTACAAATATAAAGTAAATATATTAATTTTAATGATTATGCGATTTGATGTGTTGGGACGTGGTGTGATGCAGTGCATCATTCAGTCGCTGCCTTAACGATGATGTTCAGCTGTATTATTTGCTGTTGATTCCCGGGTGGTCATGTATTCGGAAGCTTTTGTCCACATACTAGTTTCCTCAGCCATAATGAGGTTGGGTCAGATTGACATCCGATGTAAAAATCTTTTTAACTCATAAGGTAGAACTAACTCCATATAAAATAGAGGTTAAAGAGATGATAAATACAATTGATGTCTTATCGCATCACATGATGAAACAGAAATGGTTCATCTAACATGCTGATACGCGTATTTATTTTCTTTATTTCTCATATTTTAGTACTTTCGTACTAATATTATCGTATTATCATTTACGTATCAACTACGTTACATACAAGCTCATAAAATGGTCTAATTTGACTTCTTAAGTAAGGCTGTACGCTAGTGCCTTAATATTACTTAAAATATTGATTTTTACCTTTCAAGGATGTTGAAACATTAAAATACTTTTTGAATCAATTTGAAAGATTTATTATATCTAATTCCAAGTTCCAAAAATATATTATTTGATATTTAGTTTCTTTTTTAATAAATTTAAAACTCGTTTATTACACACGCAAATACCAAATATCAACAATCCTTGCATCGCATTTCCAAAATCTGTCAATAACCATATAGAATTGATAAAATTACAATATGATGATAATACTTCTGCTAGCCAGTTAACTCCCATAACTATATAAAGTTTCAGATGTAATAAGTATCTATGAAATTTGAATAATCGATTAGTATTTAATCAAAATTAAACAAATTTATTGATTTACCTTTGATTATGATAATCTATTCTTCTTTTGCTGTTAGATCTTACTTCCAAACAAACTGATCGTTTTATTTGACTTTCAATATTTTTGGAAGTTTTAATGAACATCACTAAGTTACTTAATAGTATGATAGAAATAGGACCATAGAAATAAATTAGCTTTGCTAACTTGGCTAAAAAATATTTAATATAAATACACATATTGTTATTTAAGACAGTATAATAATTCCTCTTGTTACTTAAGAATTGTTATCTAAGAATTTGTACAATATTAAAAAGTATCTGTAGAGTTATAAATTAATAATTTCTGTTTAAAATTTTTTTAATAAAAGAGTTTCTGGTTTTAAATTTAAAAAAGTTAAAATGTAGGCATTGCTGTTCTTAAGCGTGGACCAATTTTTTTTGTGCATAAATGTTGTGGAAAACTTAGGCTTAGTTCATTTTTAATTTTCCTGATTTTCTTTACAAAGTTGGCTAAAAATCATGTATTTGAAAAGTTTATAAAAATGTTGATACTCTTCCATGTTTCTTTAGATGAAAATAAACATATCGTTTGCTCTTTTTAAAAACTTTCAAAAATATTATATTATACATAAATAACATAATATTTTTAAAAGATATTCACTAAGATATGATAAATCTGATAATTGTTGATCCAATAATCATTTTACTGTATTTTTTTTTTTTTTTACAATTTTTGTATTTTTGGAGACTGCGTTAAAAGCATAATTTGTATTTTATTTAAAATTTTAAAATAGTTATTTTTTTTTTTTTTTTTTACAAACAATTTGATGGATTGATAACAACTTAAAAAAAAGTATTTATTTAAAATAAAAAGGTAATTTAAAAGCTCTTATCCAGGTATATTTTAAAACTCCATCTTATACAAATATTTCTATTATGTAATTAATACAATTTAAGATGTTAACGTTTTAAAATCTATTAAATTAAAAGAAATTTAACTTTTAAAAGAAGCTGAAATAAAAAATTCTAATGGAAAAAATATTGTTTAAAGAAATTGCTAATGTATCTCAATTATTATATATATTTTTTGCTAAAATATTAGATAAATATTTTAATTTATTAAATAGTTTTGTAAAATTATGTTGTACTTTTATTTTTCATTAAACATAAATTATGCAATATAATTATTAAAATTATAAAAATACTTATACTCTAATTATCATACTTACAATAAAACCAGCAATTTTCTCTTCCGAATTCTGGTCGAATAATTGATTTTGGTATATGTGGAGACAACTCTATGTATAAAGAAATGATTGATATAGCACTTGGACAACCCCAAGCATAAATTGAATGTTTTGTAAATTTCTCATATTGAATTTTTTTTCCGTTTTCTCTAAGTGGTTTACAGTTACTAAACGTATTCATGTAAATTTTTTACATTTTTAATTAAAATGTTGAAAATGATTTCATTAAATTGTAATCAGGGCCTGCACNTCAAATATTTCAATGACAAAGTGAATAAATGTACAAAAAATGAAAATGCATGTCTTAATTAAAATGAATTATTTGATTATAAATAATAATAGCAAGTAATAGTTTTTTTTATTAAATTTTAACTATTTATTCTTCTTCTAATTAATAAATCAAACAAATTACAAAAGGAATAGGTAGTAAAACCTTTTTCCTCTTTCTTGTTATGAAAGGCAACCAGACTTCTAACAAACTTATGATTTAAATATAAATTGTTTTAAAATATTAAATACATTTTTATTAAAATTAAACATAAATGATATAAAAAAAAAATTGTAACATAACTATAATCTAATGATATGTATACATATCAATAGTATGTAAAATCTACAATTAGTGAAATAATGATTCGGGTACCAATTATGGTTCATGTAAATTTAAAATTCCGACTAAAAAAAAATAAAAGTAAAGGTACCGAAACCAGTAATAACCAGTTATTGAAAATTTAGGCCAATAAAGTTTTTTTGCAAAAAAAAGCCTTATTTAGTTAATTATAATTCTTGATGTTTCAATTATTAGGTACATTGTAAATGTGTCAACTTTATATTTTAATGACAACATACATATTTACTTAGATCATATAATAAGAATTTATCGAATTAAGCAAATGAGTGGGTCGACAACAACTTTTGACCCATTATTTTAGAAGTTCTTACAATTTTAAAATATTGACTAGAGGTGTGACAATATTAATCATCAGACATTTCTCGTCGTCATCCCTCCTATCGCCTTGATGTAAAAATGTTAATAACTTTCTAAGTACTAGTCCAACAAGGTTTATAAGTTATATTATTTATTACAATTTAAAACCTTGCTGGTCTAAAAGTTGTTATCGACCATTTTCTTAATTTGATCATTTTTAATTTATAAGCTAATTAAATATGTCTGTTATCATCTAAAAAATAAAGTTGACTACTTCATAAGGTATAAGGGATTAATAGAAAAAGTAATTAATAACTAATAAATCAAAAAATATAAGAAACTGAAAAATCCTTGCTTCTGTGTAATATATTTTTGAAAACATAATAAATGTGTATCAATTACAAATATAAAGTAAATATATTAATTTTAATGATTATGCGATTTGATGTGTTGGGACGTGGTGTGATGCAGTGCATCATTCAGTCGCTGCCTTAACGATGATGTTCAGCTGTATTATTTGCTGTTGATTCCCGGGTGGTCATGTATTCGGAAGCTTTTGTCCACATACTAGTTTCCTCAGCCATAATGAGGTTGGGTCAGATTGACATCCGATGTAAAAATCTTTTTAACTCATAAGGTAGAACTAACTCCATATAAAATAGAGGTTAAAGAGATGATAAATACAATTGATGTCTTATCGCATCACATGATGAAACAGAAATGGTTCATCTAACATGCTGATACGCGTATTTATTTTCTTTATTTCTCATATTTTAGTACTTTCGTACTAATATTATCGTATTATCATTTACGTATCATCTACGTTACATACAAGCTCATAAAATGGTCTAATTTGACTTCTTAAGTAAGGCTGTACGCTAGTGCCTTAATATTACTTAAAATATTGATTTTTACCTTTCAAGGATGTTGAAACATTAAAATATTTTTTGAATCAATTTGAAAGATTTATTATATCTGATTCCAAGTTCCAAAAATATATTATTTGATATTTAGTTTCTTTTTTAATAAATTTAAAACTCGTTTATTACACACGCAAATACCAAATATCAACAATCCTTGCATCGCATTTCCAAAATCTGTCAATAACCATATAGAATTGATAAAATTACNCTTTTTTTTTTTAATTAAAATAAATTTTAACAACTCCTCTAAATCGTTTTACATGATTTCTAGCGTCGGCCCTGTTTATAATATTATAATTTAAAGCTCGTTGTAATTTGATTACTATAATATTAGTAATTTATACTAGTAGTAAAAATGATAATTGTTTTCAATTTACCTAAATGTCTGCCATAAATCGAAACACATGACATTTAACCAAAAAAAACTGGCTAAAAAAGCAAATTGTACAATGTATGCTAAAACAAAAGTAACAATTACTCTAAATAAGTATACCTAATCAGAGTATTCCAAAATTGAATGGTATACTCATTAAAATTTGAAATACAATATAGTTTAATATTCATTGATGTATTTAACTCGGTCATAAATAAAAAATTAATTATTTTAAAATTTGAATAAACTAAAATAAATAAACGTGATTCAAAACGTTTATAATAATTATAATTACTTAGATCTTACCTAATACGTGACAAACGATTTGGTGAAGTTGGAAGAAATTAATTTGAATTAAAATTAAGCCTGAATATGCTATAAAAAGTGCTGCAACATGACACATCAAAGACTTTCCATATACATTTCTTAATTCACTTATAAGAGCATAAATTAAAAATGTAGTGAATAGAAACGGTAGAGATAATAACATACCAACTGTGAAAACTAAATTTATTTGTATAGAGTCGTCTACAAGATCATCTTTAGGCTGGAAGCATACTAAAGGTAAGACTCGAAAATTTGAGCTGAGAAAAGATTCTACACAGTATTGATCTGTTTCTACTGGCTTATTATTAGTACTTTTTATTAACAAACCAGTTTGAGATATATGAAAAATATCTGTACTTTTGTTATATGGATTTAATCTATATTTGCTTTTGAGACATTTTGGTCTTCCATAAACTATATGAAAATGACTCTCGTTATATTCTTCCATGAAACCTGACCCATTTATAGACTTTGGCACCTACATCAACAATTTCACAAAAATTAAAATTAGAGTTCAAAATTTTTAACTAAATATTTAATTTATTTACGATGTTGGTTTAATTAAATTATGCGATACATAACTAAATTGTCCCATGATATATGTTATGTAGTATGTATTAATGTATAATGTAGTTTCGAACCAAAATAGTAAACAAAACTTGTAAATTTAAGTTCTAAAAAACACCAAAATATGTAGTAAAATATGCAAAATTACAGACATTTTTTTTTAAAAATAATTTATTTATTGTATAAAATTTAATATTAAAGAAATGCTTTTTCATTTTAACAAAAAAAGAGAGATTAAATTGTTTAATTTACATAAGTAGATTTATTTTTCTCTTATCTTCTGGTGTTTTTACTAAAATTAAAAAATGGTTGTATTTTTGAAAAAAAAATTACATTTGTTTATTTATTCGAATTACACTAATAATTAAGTTAGAAGTAGTATTTTAACTTATAACAAGTTAACTTATAATAAAAAGTATTATGAAGTATAAAATAGATTTGTACAATTTAAACAATCATTTTGTCATCATGGTATAAAAGAATAAAATAAAAAGAACAATGTAATACTATAAACAAAATTATTTAAAAAAAAAACACTATTTTTATTAAAACTTTTTTGTTGCTAAATATACATAAATATGTTCTAAAAACGTAAAATATATAATATTGGTAAGAAATTATGACATACGCATAATAACATTTTGTCTGTGAAAAAAGTTATTTTTATCGAATCAGAATATTAATTCGCCCTTTTCTAACAACTATTTAATCATTCCGAGCCCTGGTAATAAACAATGGTAAAATTAGGAAGAAGTAATAGAACTACTAATTCTCGTGTTTCTAAATCATACCACAGTTGATAACTGGCAGTTACGATTATAACTGCGTTATAATTTATTTATAATCTCAATAAAGTAATGTTTAATGGACTCGTACAACGCAAAATAATAAGTTAAGAAAATTACATTAAATTTGTTTAAAATAGGTTATAGTGAGCTTTGTAGTGACTATTACATTTAGTCACTTAGGAAATATAATAACTAAAGTATATTTTTGTACATGTGCACTCAAAAAAAAACCCCAATCAAAATTGAAAGAGAAATTTTATCAAGGGTTTATGATAATGTTTTATTAATACGAACAAAATAACTATTCTTATAAATAATTATTGTTCAAGACAAGAAAAAAAAATATCATATTGATAAATATATCGTAGCGACCAAAACATATGCAACGAATATTCTCGAATGTTCTCGTTATCAAAAACCTTCGAGAAACTTCGATAACGCCATAAGATAACCTACGCGGGTATAGAATATTCTAGAATTAGCGAGAGCCTTATCGGAGCTCTATATATATATCGGAAGAATCAGTCAGTTCAGTTAGTTCAGTTCAGACTGTCTAGTCCGCGATACGCTACACGACCGCTACACCCCGCCGCTGTTGTCATCGTGTATTATGTTTACTTCGATTATTTTATTTTTCCTTACTGTATATACATATATTTTCTTTTAGTGTTTATACGTCTATTTTCGTGTTATAATTTTGTTTAATAAAAGTCTACCGCCATTTAAATAATTGTGTGTTGTAAGATATAACCCACAATATCATTGATTCAATAGTAATGATATATTTATCAAATTGAACAATGAATTTATTATATAGATCGAGGTTTTTCTCTGGGTGTGGGTAGACTAAAATGTTATTATTACTGAATGTTATATCTTTCTTGATAAATTATTAGACAGTTTCTAGAATAATTCACTATAAAAAGAAAATCATTAGTTTTTATTAACGCTTTTCACATTTAACTATAAGTTTAAAATATCTATGGCACAATAATAGCTTCAAACTATTTAAAAAAAAAAAAATGTTGACATACAGCATATTAAACTAATCAAAAATTAATTAAGTCAGCTATGGATGATTTTATTGAAAAAAAAATTATGTGTAAAAATTATTAATTCAAATAAAAAATAAATAATAGTCCACATAATTATATTATTATTATTAAATAAATTAAATTAATTATTGGATAACAATATTATTATTAAGCGATAGAAGTGGGGTGAGCATAGGGGAATCGAAGATTAAAGAAATTAAATTTGCAGATGATTAAGCTATAGTTTCAGGATCGGCAAGAGCACACAAAGAAATGGTAAATAAAATAAATTGTATAGCAAAAAATATAATATGAAAATAAACGCCAGCAAAACTAAAACAATGATGATTGCAGAAACAAAGATACGGACAGAAATTTTAGCACATGGAAATATATTGGAACAGGTGAACCGTTTTTGCTACTTAGGGCAAACGATCACAGATGATGTAAAAATGGAAAGTAGGAGAAGAATTGGAATGGCGAAGATTGCATTTACGAAAAAAAAACATTTCCTACTATCAAAGAAGATAAACATTACACTCAGAAAAGGGATACTGAAGATATACGTATAGCCTAAAGCAGTATACTCAGCGAAGACATGGACATACAACAAAAATGAAGAAGAATCGATAAAAGCATTTGAGATTTGGTGCTATCGACTTATGTAAAAGATTAACTGGGTAGATAGAATATTAAATGATCATGTTCTACAACAAGTAAATGAGGAAAGGACAATGATAGATAACATAAAAAGCAGAAAATTACAATGGCTAGGACATACTCTGAGTCATGCTAGTCCTATATAAGTAGTACTTGATGGAATAATACCTGCGAGAAAAGGAAGAGTAAGACCTAGAGCTAATTTCATATTACAGATATGCGGAGAACTGAGCCTAAAATATGTTGATATTAAAAGGAATATAAGACAGGAAGGAATGGAGAATTATAGGAAGGCAACACCAGTCGGAAGACTGAGAAACCTAAAAAAGAAGAATAGTCAACATGCATATTTGTTTATATAAAAACGTAAATAAATAAAGAGTGCATGTAAAATAAATTTGAGGTGTGGTAACTTTCTTTAATATACTAATTTGAACTATGTAGTATGTTTTAAAAACTTGTTAGTCATTAAAACAGTGTATTTTTCTTATTGAGCAATAAAAAGTGTATGAACTGTTTAATATTTATTCTAATGAAATGTTATAGCTAACGTTCGGTACACCAAATTAATGCAGTAGTTTAATATAAGTAATTACGTAAACATATTAGACTCGAGATTTCTATTATAAACGGTGTAAATGTAAATATATTTTTACATAATTAACAACATAAAATATACTATAGTTTCTTAACAACATGTTAGATTTTTAGAATAGTCAATTTAATTAATGAATAATGTAATATTACCATTTAACTAAAAACTAAATTAAATTTAAGAAAAATTTAAATTATGAAATTTACACAAACCCGAGGGGGGAGAAATCTGACATATTTATAATATATATATATATATTCAAAGGACCAAATTTTTAAATTTAAGTAATTGTTCAAATAACACCAGTACGTATAAAAAAAAATAATTGTCATTTAACACAATAATGTTTTTGCTATTAACATCAGATATCATGAATATCTTAAAAAAAGCATTAGATAAAAATGTTTGTTACAAAAGTGCAGATTTTAACTGTTCAACGATAATTTATTTGAGTACACTATACTAATATTAAGTAAGTAATATAGATATAATTTGAATAAATTACTTACTCTAAAAGTGAAATTAATGGAATCGTCCAATACTTTACACTCGTTATGCACATAAAATTCATTTTCCTTGCAACATTTATACACACACGATTCGACAGCACAAATACACAATTCAAAACCCACATCAACCTTACGGTAAGTTGATTTCGAATATTTTTTAGATGATTCCCCATTAGTCCATATGATTGAGTCGTTTTTTAAAGTAACGTTATTGTAAGGTACTATTAGGGTGTTATTCATTTTGCACCATGTATATTTATTTTCTGTGATCACTGTTGATGTTAAAATTGCGATGATTAATACCCGTATAGTTTTGTTCATATCAGTAGCAAATTTAAACATTCATTATTCTCTAAATGGAAATATTTAGAAAGTAAACGACTCCTTATAAATTATTGTTCAGCTCGTAATTCAATATGTACACAAACAAATATCGAATGTGTTGTTGTCTTTCTTTGTATTTGAAGGTTTATAAGAATATCATTATCGTATTCCTTTATTATACTGCCACATTCATCATCATACGAACTAAGGTACTAAAATTTAACCCAATAGTAGTTAACCTCTGTTGATACAAATCATTGTTTTACCAATTCCAATAAAACTTCTTAATACAATAATGTTACATTATTTCTTTTTCTAGAACTTTTTTAAGAGAAAACATTTATATAACGTTATTAAATTTAAATTTTTACTAGTAAAATGTTGTTAGAGCACATGTACATTCAATATTTAAGAACCGGTACGCACAACACACTCAACCACGTTTTAACAGTAAATGAATTCAATGATGATCGAGGGATTCCTTGAAAAAAACATTATCCCTCCCCATCACTAAAAACAGGTCAGTTCTGTGTCGTGCAGTCTGGCAAACGAATGCTAAAATAAAAAAAATATATAATTTGCTCCCCAGACAGCAAAGAAATATGGTAAAAATATTTTGAAAACGTGTTTTAAAAACATTTAAATATGGTGACCTTATTTTATTATAGTATTCTGTTCTATATTTTTTAACATTTTAACAACGTGTTCAAAATATCTGGTTGCAGAAAATTTAACATTTTAACTATAATTATTTGAAATATTTTAACAGAGTTATATTGTATAGTCGAATATTTTTGAGGAAATATTTTTCATCAATATTTAAGTAATATTTAAAAGGATATTTACCATTACTAAACATTTAAATAATAAATAACTTATAGAGTACATGAGATTGTATTTAGAATTTGTTCTTTATCTTTCTATCAAGAACCAAATTATTGATAAAAACAAACTTCCAGATTTATATTTTTAATACATATTAGGTATATTGTTAAGTTTGCCACGAACTACAGAAAACCTTCATAAATTAAAAATGAAATTTTAAATAGATGAAATCAACAAATATTATAAAATAAGTAACAAAAAACTTTATTAGCACTTTATCAATTGATAAATATATTATTTATATATTATTATTCTAATTATATTATGTATAATTTTAACTATAAATTTTAAAAAGTATTTCTCTCCTTAAAACCCCCATAAGAGTACTTTCTTTTAAATAATTGTCATAAAAAAATGTTTTTGAGATTAAGTTTCAAACTTATCTTGATAATTCAGTTACCAACAAGTGTTTTAAAACAACCTTTAGTTTACAGCATTATTAAGCACTATGGAAAATATGTATAGTCAAGTAATATTATAATATTAGAGTAAACTGACACTCGACATCCGTAGGTGCTTTTTAAAAACATATAAATAAGAAATATATAATGATTAATACAATATATAATATAATTATTTATATATAAATAAATAAATAATGACCAAGAAAGATCATTATTACAGAATAGAACATTTTATAGGGTCTGTGTTTACCTACTAGCCACGCTACTGCACATTAAATGCAGTAGAGTATTTAAAAATATTACGCCTCTATAAAATAAAGAAAAAAGCCTATGAATCAAATTATTCAACAATATAATCGTAAAAAAGTTGATTAAATAGACATAGAATATTTGATGCTGTTTTAATATTAAATATTTATATTTTTAACATAGTTAAGCTTTTAGAATCGAAAAATAATAGATGGTTAAATCAATGGATGTTTTTCTTATCTAACAATCTAAACTGTTTTCATATATTTAATATAAAATTGTATGTTTAAATAATTAATAATATTTTTTAAATTTTCCTGAAAACCGTATTAATACGGTATTCACTAATTGAATTCATTTAGAACTGTACTTAAATAATTGCCACAATTTGAATTACTAGAGGGTGCTACATAAATAGAAAATAGGGTCTCATGTTAAAAATAATTATATACAGTACCACAGCACATTTTTTGATCTAGGGGAGAGTGATCCCTACTAAATTACTAACTAATATATATTGTTTGGTGTTAAGAAAAACACGAATTTATTTATTTATCATTAATGTACTCGAAATGCTTAAAAGAAACTTTATAAATGATTTATGTAACGAGCCCTGGCCATTATACCAGCTTTTCTATACACATTCTGACAAAAGAATAGAATTAATAAGTTGTGATATAAATAAATAATGTCTTAATTTCGTATCAGTTTGACTTATATTGATCAATAAATGATTATATAGTCGAACTGATTCAGTTGAATAAATTGCAGTCGCGTTGTGTCATTTGTGTCTAATGCGTTGGTAATACTGTTCGGTTATTAGGATGAATGACCGAAAACATGATCAGTTCATTCAATATGCTATTCCTCCTAAAATTAATGTTTTTTTTAACTTGACCTATAGTTTAATGTCATATTGGCAGTGTTCAATAGAGACTTAAAACTTGGTCACTTCAGGTTTTAAATTTTGATTACAGTTCACATGCGCAGTTGTACCGCATGTCTATCATATGGTGATAATCGATTGAGTTAGTTGCTCGTCTGAATTCGTCGCCGGTGTAAGTTATTCGTGTTCAATATTTCTTGTTACTTTTTCAACAAGTATTATTAATTAAAATTTATGCGTGTTTTATACTATTCAATTACATTGGTTCAGTGTTAATCTATTTTTTAAGTCCGTGTTATATCGCACAAGTGAAAACAAATATATCCACTATAATATATAACAGCTCAAAAAATAATCAACCAAAATCTACTATAAATAACGGTAATTAAATTTTTCTTGAAAAAAATTATAATTGTCATATTTTTTGTTTACGTTTAATGTTAGTACAATTTTTTATAGTTTTAAAATCTTAAGTATGCAATTCGCTTTTAGATACTACAGAAGTATTTAAAAATTCAATAATAATAAAAAATTAAGTGTTAATACATTAACTTTCTTTATGTATTAAAAATATGCTTTTAAATTATAGTTTAATTTTAATTATAATGACGAAACACAAACAATTGTATAGTTAAAAATTGATCACTTACATTAAATATATCATAATATAAGTCACTTTGTTGTCATATTTTTTGAATTTTTTTTTTAAATAAAATAAGAGATAAAATCTTAGAAACGAGATGATCTCAATAATTTTCAAAAAAAAAAGTAAAAAATGATGTGGAAATAATTAAACTTTTACAATGATAATGAATTTTAGTTAACGTCATGCGAACATATAATTTGTAATTTTGTATAATTTATACATATGTTTTTGACACATAGATCAGTGCACACAGTTACCTCAAATTTACTGCGTCATTATATCCTAACTTGATTATTATAAGATTAAAAATTACTGTAGTAATTTGAATTTTTATCCTATTAATTTTTTAATTGAATTATTACAAGTGTTGTCTTAGCTCATATTTTGGCCTCTGATATATAATTTACAATTAACTTGAGGTATTTAGACATTTAGGACCCACTGGCTAATTTTTTTTAGACGCTCCTTTGAGCAAAAAAAAAAAGGTCTTAATTAGTAGAATCGTAACCACAATACATAGTTTTTTCGGGATTTAGTAAAACATGACAAGCGCAATATATAGGCGACAAATTTTTACGTAATATCAGAATATCACAGTGATTCGTAAAAATTGGCCACCCCCTAAAATGAATTATAAATTTGTCGCCGGGGGCAAAAGGTAACAAATGCCCCTTCTCCCAAATCCAACCATATGGGTCGCTATATTGAAAAATATCTTTGGCAATAGCCTTTAAACCTTGTAGCCAAAATGTGTTTTAATGTATATGAGTAATACTAATAAATGACTTTTAACTTTGTTTAATTTATGTAAGTTAAATAAGAGATAAAATTATAACGATTGGCCATAGTATACATATAAAACAATTATTAATAAATGAGTTATAAACGAAGAATATATTTCATATCACTATGATACCAATATTAAGATTTTATACTTCATTTATAGATTAAAAAATGACAGATCCAGATGCAGTGAAAACGATTTGGCGTGAAGCAGATGCTGTCTGTTTTGATGTAGACTCAACGGTTATTCAGGAAGAAGCCATTGACGAATTAGCTAAATTCTGTGGAAAAGGATCAGAAGTTCAACAATTGTGCGTGAATTATTATTTTTTATTCTATATTACAATTAATTCTAGTGAATGAATATTACTTATATCATAGGCATTGGTAGAAATTCGGGTTGAGTGTAAATTAGGCCTGTATTAATTGAATAGATAGAACTATTTAAGTACTTTAAAAATACGTGATCTCGATAAATAATTAATTCTGATTACGTTGGAGGTGATTGGTAAATGAGTAAATAATAAAATGTTTGACTATACGTAAATACTTAAATAAACACTTAAAATAAAATAAAGTATCAAGTACATAAAAAGTTATAATTATCAACCACACGCGACGATCGTCTGGACTTGGACCAACATAGATTCAGCAGTAAGCTCAAAACCCAAATTATTAAAACAATTAATAATTCAGTATAAGTATAATTCAGTACAGTTAAACGTCTCCTTCACTAACAAATAACAGTACAAAATATTTAAAAAACTACGAGAACACATAGTCACATTAAATCTAATAAAATTAATATGAAATAAAAGACAATATTATGTTGTTGGTAGAATAAATGCAGACTTAGGATAAAGAAAGACAGTAATGGAATATCAGTCAGGACACTAAATTGCAGTAAAAATATGTATCGGCGTAATATCTTTTTGTAAGTCGGCTCTTAAATGTATGGAACATTAAACCATATCTTGATTATTGGCACTAGATTATGATAGATCTAGTAGTTTATTTTAAATTTAGTTCATTATTACAGTTGTTTTACATTTTTTTAGTTAATATATTTTGTTGTTTATGTTATATTATTTGATTTATCTGCTTAATTATGAGTTTTTGTGTTTATTAAAATGATAAATAATAATTTTTTTTTTACGTTTTTTGTACTTTTCTAAATACTAAATTGCGTTAAGGATGTTCACAGGGATAAAAATATACCACCTCCCTATGATGAAATTGTTTGTAATAAATATATATTTTTATCGTCTTTTCAATAAAGTATTTTTAAATGTAATTTTTATCGGTATTTAATAACTTTTAAAATAATTTTCAATTTCCTATTTAAGTTATTATAATGTTTTATTTAAAAGTGTGACTACAATGTCATATCAATATAATTATTGTCACAAATTCCTTATAATTAGTACAAATTATGAAATGTAAAAAAGAATGCGTTTCAATTAGTTAGTTAATACAGGCGTTTCAAGCAGTATTTTGAGTTTTAATTGATTTGCAGTCTACTGTTAATTTTTAATTAATTGTTTAACAGTTTCATGAATTTTATTTTAGTAACTAGAATAATTAAAGTTATTTATTTATTTCAATCTCCCATAAAACATTTATTTTCTGTCAATAAAAATAGAAAATAAAATAGTATCCTATTAAAAACTATACTAAAATAGTCATAATTATAATGTCCTTATTAAGTACATAAATTATTAATAAAGTTTGAAGGTTATAAATGATAGTTGAACGAAGTTATATTTAATGGACTTTTATTAGTGACTTCAAACATTCAATTATTAAATGAACATTTTCATAAATATCAATAAAAATATTTACTATTTAAATATAACATATCCATAGAATTCCTAACATATTATCTGTAATGGATCCAGCACTTTTTTATTTTCCTTTCTCACGAGTAAGAAAACAGTAGTAGTAAAAAGCGCCACAACTTCGTTTCTATCTAATTCTTAAATTTTTTTTTTATACAAGAGAGTGGGATAAAAAAAAACATAGAATCTAATCTTATTCCCTATGCGGAATAAATAATTTGATATTGAGTGATATTATTTTCGAAGTAACGTGAACAATTTTACATATTACGTGGAACTGTTCAATAACTTTAACATATTATTTTTTAATATTTGTAAATAAATAAAAAATAATTTTATAGAACAAACAGCGCAATGTCTGGAAATATGGATTTTAGAGAAGCTCTAGCAGCTAGATTACAAATTATTCAACCATCGTTACAACAAATCCGGGATTTTATTAAAAACCATCCATTCCATTTAACACCCGGAATCAAGTACATTGAATGATACTGCACGTTTTAACATAGCAAATGATATATTTATTGTAACTGATATTTACTTAAAAATTAATTTATTATTTTCATTTGTTCTCTAGTGATCTTGTTGAAAAGTTACAACAAAAAAACATACCTGTGTATTTAATATCTGGTGGTTTTCGAGGGTTAATAGGACCAATAGCAATTGAACTCAGCATTCCGCTTCAACATATTTATGCAAACAAACTTAAATTTTTTATGAATGGTAATTATAAATCTTGTTTTAGTAATGAATATTTTAAACTTTGTAATATATTATACATTAATTAAATTATGTCCAAAAAGGCGATTATGCTGGATTTGATGAAAAAGAACCTACTTCAAAAAATGGTGGCAAGGCTGAAGTGATAACATTGTTGAAAGAAAAATATGGTTACACTAAACTCGTTATGATTGGAGATGGTATTACTGATTTGGAAGCATGCCCTCCAGCTAATGCATTTATTGGTGTGTTATATTATATTACGTTTGATATTGAAGCAAAATAACATACCTTAATGTATTAAGCACTCTTAAAAAAATGCCTGAAATTTCACATACATATACTAGAAGTTTTTAACGTGTACAATTTAAGGGAAAATTTTGATTAATAGTGATAAAATGTTATATTTGGGTACGAATATTCGATATTTTATGTCAAACATACACTAATTATTCTATGCTATTACGATTAGTGACATCAAAATGAAACATCAAATTTAGACATTCATGGGATATCTAAAACAAAAATTGACATTTCAAAAGGATATCTATATCTGTCTACTTCTCACTGATGAAACTTAACGATTTCACATAGAAGTTATCTCTGTCTCACTTATTTTTAATAAATTTTAATAAAACAAATACAATATAAATAACTACTGCTGAAGTCCCAGTGGAATTAGGCGTAGGTTTTTGTATAATGCATACCGTTGACATGATAGTGTTAGAATCCATCATGATGTGCCCGTAATTTTTTTGTTAGCTTTTAAGCTGAGAAGGTATTAATTTTACTATAATGTGTTTTTTTTTTTTGTGTGTGTCTGTTATCACTTTTTCTCAGCTCTCGCCGAATCGATTTCTTTCAATAATATGTCAAAAGATCACAAATCGTATCTAGTCGAAGACATTACCCTCAAAAATTGAAAAAACTTCCCTCGTTCCCCGTAAAAGGGGGAAACCTCCAAAAAAATATCAAATTTAGAATTCGCTAATTTTCGAAATTTTTTTTACTTAAAACACCATAACTTTTTCAAAAATGACTAAATCAATATAATTTTTTTTATAGATGCATGATGTTTTTACTTATCATTTAGTATATTTATTTTATAAATTTGACCCTTTACCTGCTCACAGGAGATAATACAAAATGACAATTTTTTCAACTTGACATTTGAAATTGTTCCGGAAAGTCTGTCACTTTTATATATATATCTTAAATTAAAGCTAAAGTAATATACTTTATCATGGAAAAAATAAATTCGGACTTTATTTTGTCTTCGCGGTGAAAATGGCTTCCAAATGCTATTTTTGTTTGAAAATTCTCGATTTTGTATTTTACATTTTTACCTTTATAATACTATAACTTTTTGAAAAATGTATGAATCAATACAATTGTTTATGAGAAATAATATTTTTTAATAATCCCTTTTTCATTCAACATACTTTATCTTAATCAGGTTATTAATAAGGAACTAGCAGATCATGTAGCTTTTAGAATAATCCACCAATTTTTTTAAATTAAACACTATCTAACGATTTGCATCAAAGCGTTTTTTATGATAGTGATTTTAATCACTGTCAGATATCATTATACTTGACCCAACTATTCCACATCCTCACTGTGCTGAGTTTTTTTGTTTAATATTACATGAATTATTATTGTTGATCACATTTGTTACCTCGCATAACTGGTATTAAAACATCTGTGTGATCTCCATTTTTTAACGTATAGAAATAACTTTGCGAAATTTCTGAAAAGGATAGCATAGACATCTCGGCGACTATCATAGAATTTAAATGACACTATATTGTAACATCACACCTCCCAAGGCAATATCATTGCGATATCTTTGAGATTAATTTTTTCACACAATGTTGTGTGAAAAAATTCTTTGGGAATTTCTTATAGTGTGTATATAATTTAATAAAATGTCTTATTTATGAAACTTTCATAATTATCAATTTGATAGGATATTCTTTTTTGTTTCAGGCTTTGGTGGCAATAAAGTACGAGAAGAAGTGAAATCAAAATCAAAGTGGTTTGTTGAGAGCTTTCAGGATCTTGTCGAGGCCTTATAACTCATTCTTCTTATTATTTATAAAATATTTTTATTGAAATTATTTCATAGTTTATTATAATGTTAAAAAAATATATGTCGTGCTACAAATAAAATTATGATTGTGAATAAATCAACATACAAAATATAAAACTTTCAAACAACTTAATTAAATTAAAATGGTTTAAAACCTTAAAAACAATCTGCAATTTTTCACATATACCAAAATAGAATTATATATATTTATACATAATATGTATGTAAAATTTTTGATAATCTAGAGATAAAAATGATATATTTGTATACAAATATTACCATTTTTTTGTAAAAACTTTACTATTTATATACAGGGTGGCCCACTACTCACTGACAACTTAAATAACTTTTGATCCAGTTAATATTTTTAGTTGATTTTTTTTTTAAATAATAGTTAGACGTTAGACCTATAGCTATATCTCAATAATTAATTTTTTTACATTTTATTAAAAATATTAATTATTTTTAAATTTTAAATAAAATGTAAAAAAAAAATCTAAGATAGCAATTTTGTAGAGTAGAATTTAAGAAAAATTTTAGTAAAAAAATATCTTATTAATATTCAGTAGTAAATATTCTGTAGCGTTTTGAAGTTTGTGAAAATTTGAATTTTCATGTACTATTTTACGGTATTAAACATTGAAATACAATATACTTTTGAATGAGAGTGATAAGTAATAATTGCCTTATCCAATTTCTTATCATGGTATTTATGCCAAGTTTGTAATGTATACACACTATCATCATATGTATACACAGTAATCATGAAAAGATAGCGTGTTCTTCTGTCCTTATCTCAATATGATGATATACATATGATGATAGTGTGTATACATTACAAACTTGGCATAAATACCATGATAAGAAATTAGATAAGGCAATTATTACTTATCACTCTCATTCAAAAGTATATTGAAAAGATAGCGTTTTCTTCTGTCCTTTTCTCAATACGTATTTCAATGTTTAATACCGTAAAATAGTACATGAAAATTCAAATTTTCACAAACTTCAAAACGCTACAGAATATTTACTACTGAATATTAATAAGATATTTTTTTACTAAAATTTTTCTTAAATTCTACTCTACAAAATAGCTATCTTAGATTTTTTTTTTACATTTTATTTAAAATTTAAAAATAATTAATATTTTTAATAAAATGTAAAAAAATTAATTATTGAGATATAGCTATAGGTCTAACGTCTAACTAATATTTAAAAAAAAAATCAGCTAAAAATATTAACTGGATCAAAAGTTATTTAAGTTGTCAGTGAGTGGTGGGCCACTCTGTATTTCAAATTGTATATAAAATTATTGTGTAAATTAAAAATATCATACTTACATCATAAGCATGACTAAAAAAAAAACTAGCACAGTGGGGACGTGGCATAGTTGGGTCCAGTATAGATTTAATCTGATAGCGATTAAAATCATTATTATAAGAAACGCTTCGATGAAAATCTGTAGATGGTGTTTAATTCTAAGAAATTGGTGGAAATTTCAAAAGCAACATCAACTTATATTTCCTTAATTATATCCAAATTAGTAATTCTTAGATTCAAAAATATAATATATAATTTTTATAATTAATTGTTATCAAATTATTACTGATTTTAATTTTTAATATGTTAAAAGTAATCATTTTTAATCAACTTATTTTTGTCCTTTAAAGTGAATATTTATAATAATAAAAAAAAAAAAATTATTTATTACCATAACTTTTAGCTCAACTTGCAAGTTTGAAATTGACTTCATTAAATAGAAAAAAATGGTATTGTTAAGATTAAAATGCAGTCAGAAAATTTTATAATTACTATTTACAGTAAATTTATCAGAAAAGCTTGACTTTTTTTGCATTTTTATCGTAATAGATTACTTAAATAGAAATCATAGTAATCATTTCTAATTAACTTAAATCCATTGTTAAATTCAGGTGAAACTAGATTTATGATTTATATAGCAACATGTTACAAAAAAAATTTGGAATGTTATAGACTGTTAGTAGCACACACAAATAGAATTTAAAAATTATTAAATTACAAAGTAAAATTATTTACTTTTGTAGTTGAATACTTTTATTATATCAAGTCTAATTCGACAATAAATACTTTTAAAATATTAGAAATGAATAAAGCTGGTTAAGCTACTTTTTATTTAATTAATGGATTTTTTTTTCAATTTTTGAGAGTAATATCCTAAACTAAATACGGATTGTAATCATTTGACACATCGTTGAAAAAGTAGATTAAGTGAGGGTTGGAAAAATAAATCGCAGCCACACAAAAAAAAAAAACACACAGTAAAATAATATTAACATAAATAAAAAATTTCTTCTTACGAGGGGAGACTACAGTGATAGGATCCTTGATATTTTATTGTAGTTATTGAATCTAAATGAAATAAAAATTAAATGATTTGAAAATTTTAAATTTTAACTCAAAAATATAAATTGCCACAGGCGGATTCGATCCTCGTACCCTAAGCATAAAGATTCAAGTGTTACCGATTTGGCAATTTTTCATAGCTTTCGTTGTTTGATAAAATTGACAATTTAAGCTAATTCAAGTTTTAATGTTACTTTTTCGACTTTAAAAAAGCAAATAAATTTAAATAAGTTTAACTTCTTATGTCTAATGAACTTTATTCTATGTCAATTAAATCATTAATAATCATTTAAGTCAGCGTATTTCCTTTGTGAGATATTTTAAAATAAAATAAAATACAAAACCCAGAATTTTAACACAAAAGTATGCTTTTTTTGAAAACAAACATTTTCACCAAAATGAAAATTTATACTTCGAATTTATTTTTTTTAATAATAAAGTATATAACATAAGCTTTAATTTAGTATTAAATAAAAGCGTCAATATTTCCGGAACATTTTCAAAAATTAAAGTGAATAAGCTTAACTTATGTGCAAAAATTGCTTTTTTGAATCCCTTTGTAGGCAGGTTTAGAGTCAAATTTTCAAAAAAATTATATCAAATAAAAGAAAAATATCTCAAGTTTCAATATAAAAAAATTTTTGTTGATTTGAACTTCAAATATTTTAATGCTACTAAATGTTATTAAAAAAAGGAAGCGATTCTATGAAATTCACTAGGAACAGATGGATTAAAAGTCTCTAGTACTTTAAAAGTTATAAAAGAGACAGTGTGTAATATTTTAAAAAAAACTAGAATGATATTGTATTACTAGAAAAAACAAAATTATGGACAATTACAAATTCTTTACTCGCACGAAACGTTCTGAAAAACCATTTGAGAATTTCTACACAGATTTAAGAAAATATGTGTAGAAATAAGGATTTTCTAATGGACGACTGAATCATAAGTCATTAACGCACAAACTTAATTAACTGCTATATATACACAAGAGCTTTCGAGTCTTGGTAATAATAAATAATACTCTGTTGTATCAATTGATATGTTTCACGAAAATATTTTAATGATCAAATTATTGATATCAAGAAGTACTTATTCAATACACTTACCTTTTGTTTATAGTATTATACAACTTTTAAGTGTTGCGTAAGACATCAAACCAGTTTTTTGAAAACAATTCAAACTCAGATTTTCGCTGAACAAGTTTTTAATGTTTGGGATTCACGGGCAATATGAACATTCTTTGTCTTTAACAAGGCAATATCTATCAAAATATTTTCTCAAATTCATATTAATTAATCGCGAAACAATATTCACAACAAACACTTTTATTACTTTTTTATTGCATTTAAGATTTTTAAGAAAATATTAATTATAATACTTTTAAAACTACCAACTTTTTCATATATTAACATACTATACTGCAGTAACTATGAAAACGTAAAATACTTTATTGTTTGACTATAAAAGAATATTTAGCCAACATTATAATTATTTAAAAAAATTTGTTATAACGTAGCTTTCATCACAAATTTGTGTAAATCAAAATATTCATATATTAATGTTTATTACTAAAATATATTTATAGTTATTTATAATGGATCTTTAATTTTCTATCAGAATTTTTATTCTCCTTTAAAAACAACTGTATAAACAATCACTTAATAAATTGTAAAATATAATTTATTCCGTTCATAAAGTTTCCTTAAGTTTATTTTCAAAATTTTATGATAATCACTTACCTTAACTTAAGACACTTCCAAATGATACATGATGATTAATTCAATAGAATTTCTTTAGTTTGCTTAAGAGGAATTCAATTTTAACATATTCAAACTCAACGAGTTGCGATGTTTAGCGTCCAAGATCTGTTTGACTTTAACAAAATAACACTTGTTTCAGACTTTTTTAATTTAATGTCTTAATCATCTTCCGCTACAACAGATATTTATATATAAAAATTTTAATACTTCTTACAAAATTTTTTAAAAAATATCATACTTTTTAGACAAATTATTTTACATCATTGTTTTAAAACAATTTTCGTACGAGTTAAGAAAAATTCCAAATATTTCAAAAACAGAATTTTGTATAGTAAACTGGATCTTCTTAAGTTTTTTCACAAGAGCTACTCATCTTGTAGAAGATTACACACAAGCTGAATGAATTTTTAATGTTTCGCGATTACGTATAAATTAAATATATAAATATATAAATTAACAATCCTTTCACTTAGCCAATGCAATATAATTTTCAAACTCTGGTCAACTTAATAATTTACTACTTACAAATTAACTATAAATCTTTTACTTAATGGTTTTTACAAAAAATTTAAGCTATTAATATATATAATAAATATATTTATTGAAAAAAAATATAACACTTTCATCGTTCATTAAAAATTAAAATCTCGTCCAAATACTAACAAATTAAACTACAGTAACTATGGAGACATAATTTATTATTAAATCGCTGTAATACAATTTTTAGTATTGTTAAAACTATTTATTTCGATTGATCCAAAATTATTAATTCTTTTTTTGTTAATTTTTCTATCTACGTTTAGAGATTTATACTCCACTAAAAATGAAAATTTTTACAACACTATTTATTATATATTTTCCAAGTGTTAAACGTATACCAAATAAAACAAATACAATAATTTGATTAATTTTTGTTTCCTGTTACAATGTACGCGTTCCTAAATGCAAATAATATGTATGTAATCTGATGTCATTTTTACGTTATTGTTTTGCGCGTTTCCCATTGCGGAGATGGGAACGCTTAGATTCGAATATTTTTATAGATATGAGAGGAGAGTAATTGATAGTTGTAGAAAACACATCCGATGGATAATAACAACAAAATCCGTGTACCACATCTCCAGTAGATATTCGAGTACGTCAGGCTGTCTTAAATAATATCTGACAGGACACCGCGTGGTTACCTCGCGACCGCTGACGTCACAGTGAAGGATTTTAAGATAATAGTTTTCGTCTCCTAGATCCCTGGTACAGTTTTTCTAGATTTTTGAATGGTCCGACATTGTAAATGCGGTTAACAAAAATAGTATACTACTTCTGAATTCCTGGTACTGTTTTTCCAAATATTTTGATTTCTAGTGACAACGACAACGTCGTCCCGCGTGCATCGTATTTCAAGAGAAACGCAGGTCGTTAAGTTGCCTACACCTAAGGCCTTAAATCGACTTTGTGGTTTTTTCCGTTTTATTCTCAATAAAGTTATTTTGGACTCGCTTGGATCTGGTATTGTTAGCTAACATAATATGTTAGATAACTATACAGGAAATTTCATAGAAATATTATTTATGCGTAATTTTAATCATAGATGTCGCAATATTATCATCATATCGGTCAATCGTAATCCAAGAGGTTATTTTAAGTTTTTTGTAAAAGTAATATAAAGAAGAAAAAAAACGTTAAAACCATTCATACAATTTTTAATAACTATCGAATGCAAAATATAAGGGTGTAAATTTGATGTTTAAAATTAATTTGTGTAAATAAATAAATTATTTTTAATCAATTTATTTTTATTATCTCTAATCCGTAGCTGAGAAACTAATGGTTTTTACTTTATCTGTCCATAATAAAATTCTATTGGATCGATTTTGCTCAATGCTATTGATCACAAAACGCATGTCATTGAAGCTATCAACGCTATAATTTTGAAAAAATTTTCCTCAATTCGGAGCGTAATAAAGAAAAATGTCCGACAAAATTACAGTTTTATAAAACAGTAAATGTCGAAAATTTATTCAGTCAAAGTTTATTTTGAATTACATTTCAGTAATAAATATTGGAAGTTAAGTATTAAAGTAGTTCAATAAAATAAATCATTAAGAATTTATTCTAAAAATACTTGAAAGCGTTTCATTATAGAAGCCCATTTTGTAGTATTAAATAGAATCAAAATTAAAAAGGCGTTCAACTATATTGCGATGGGCGTTTATAAATCCGTGGCCTCTTAAAACAGTGTTCGTGAAACAAACTGATTAATCATAGACAAGAAGTTCATTCATGTTGACCCTGTTAATTTCGTATGATTACAAGTGTGTTGTATTTGTTAATCAAATTGACTATACTATTTTATATATGAAAAAATGACTTATATTACTTATTATGACTTGAATTTAGGCGCGCAAGCATATGACATTTTTAGAAGTCAAAAAGTTTTACTATTTATCATGTCTCAAAACACTGGTATCAGTATAAAAAAATGTTTTTCATAATGATTTGAATATTTAAAAATATTTGCATGGAAAATTTCAATCTTTTTGACGTTATCACTTAAAGTAATCAATGGGTTTTATAGGTCATTTTACATTCCTTTTTCAATTTGAAGAGATATTGATATCAAATAGACACATTTAAATTTTTTGATAAATTATAAACAAAATCTTCTATTTATAATTAATCCAAAATGAAATTTATTAATCGTTATGAAGTGTTATTAAAATGATATAAAAAAAATCAATGTTTATACTATTTATATAGTGACAGTTAAACACACTTGCATAATAATAAAGATTGATTTTTAAAATAACATAGCTGTCAATTTTGATGAAATACGTCAAAAGTATTCTAATGACTTGTATGACAAAAGTTATAATGTGTAAAATGTTTAATAAAAATTGTCGATAAAAAATAAATTAATTTTATTTATTATAGTATTCATTAATTTACAATTAGGTACAAAAATTGTTGTTTTACTAATAAATTAAAGTTTGACAAGTTTATTAATACTATAAAAAATACTTTTCGTTGACTTTGAAAATTTAATTTTCTGATTGAGTATAATCATTTATTTTGCATTATACAACGTCTTTTATCTTAAATTAATGAACATTAGAATATAAATTGCATTATTTTTACTTTATATCTTACAACTATGTTTACTTAAACACCAAAATTAAAAATAATCAAAGTATTCAAGATTTAATGTATTGAATAGACGGGTAAAAAAATAACAGCTTCCAAAATGAACACCAAAAAATAATTGTCATTTAATGTTAAGATTAATTATTATTATATTTGATTAAAACTAATTTTTTCACATAAAAGAATGTATAAAAATCAATAAAACAAATATAGAACGTTATGATGTGTTGCAAAATAATGAAAAGGTCATTCATATAATTTTTAGTTCAATATTGAAAATCTAAGCAAAGATGGTATTTATGTATTCTACGGAATATACGAGACAAAAGTTAATGTATGAAATGATATTAAATACTTTTTAATGCTATGTACAAATTTATTTTTTATTTTAAAAGTCTGTTAAGACTTTTTTTTGTTAACTTAACACTCTACTTAAATAATAAGTTGTACATTTCTGTCCACTATCGATTAACTAAACTGCTCTAAAAAAACAGTTGCGAGTACTTGGCATTATAGTTCAAGGTAGATGTATAAAAGCTTATAAATGTTGACTAAATCAATTATGGCGTTTAGCGTTAAGAATCCTTACAGTTAAAACTTCCATACTAATATTATGAATTTCAAGATTTGTTATAACAATATCTCAATAAATATTCTATTTAAATTATTAGAGAAAATTTTTTTCTTTTTAAGAGACATTTACATTTGGTTTACTTGTTTTTTATTTTTATAATTAACTTACCTTAAAATGTATAAAATTAATAACATAAATAAAGTAACACATAGTTTTGACTTTAAGCTTATTAGGTATACAAAACTTGGCAAACGTTCGTTATAAATATTGTTAAAATTCACGTTGTACATAAATAATTTGTTAATTGATACTAAAAAAACAACAGTATATTCAATTTGCATAATTAAAAATAAATATTGTGTATTTTGAGTATAATTTAAAAGAATTTTGTTGATAATTATTATTTAGCATCATTGCATACGAGTATTCTAATTAATTAAACGTATTTTCAATGAAACTTGTGTTTTTTTTCCATAGAAAACATGTCTAAATTTAAAAAATAGATATGATAAAATGATTGATTGATTATTTAAATTCTTATGCGGACATATACCTAATTTCTTCTAAAAATAAACGTAAAGTGCAGTAGACCTGGGGATCAAAATTAAACTACCGTAGCTTTTGATAGAATTAATTTGGTGGCCAATAGTCAGACGGTCACAACATTGTAAACGCTCGAGCCAAATGGTTTGGCGTACATTTTGTTTTCGCTATGTGGTATGCATTATTAATTTGTACGTTAAAGAAAAATCCAAGTTATTTAAATAATCGTTGTTGTTTATTTCTATGAACTATAATTATTTAAATTTTTAATTTTATTTGTTGAGTATTTAATATCTTAAAACACAATACTCTCTATTCTAATTGTGATTAGCTTCATACATTCCAACTATACTAGACTTATAAAATCAATATGTAAGTAGAATAATACATTATTTTATTATAATTTCCTCATGTGGCAAATTAATAACTTAATATTTTTTCCAAAAATTGTCCTTGTTTTAGTAATAATAATAATAATAAATTACTATTAACACATTTTTCATATTATCAATATTTCACAGATTTTATGTAAAAACTAAATATTTTATAATCTTAATAATTTACAAATTTGTACATTTAAGAATATTTGATTATTAAATCATCTTTTATAATATATTTTTGGTCCAAAACAAATTTTATAATTAAAAAAAAAGTGGAATAAATAGTATAGTATCTTAGTATTTAAACAATTATTTTTGCAAAATAAATTTAAGAATCCATTTTAGAAAAGTGTAAAACAATTAAGTATTTGTATACTTTTTTATTTGGATTAAGTACCCAAATTTTTTTCTACGAGTTTTACTATCAAACGCCATTGGGAATTATATTCTTCATTTGAATAAAGGTGAAAAAAGTCGTGTTGCTACCGAAGGATACAATAAATAAATAAAAAAAAAACCCAGCACAAGATGATCGCGGCCCAGTGGTGCGTGGCATAGTTGGGTCAAGTATAATGATATCTGACAGTGATTAAAATCACTATCATAAAAAACGCTTTGATGCAAATCTTTAGATAGAGTTTAATTTTAAAAAATTGGTGGATTATTACAAAAGCTACATGATCTGCTATTTTCTTATTTATATCCTGATTAATATAAAATATGTCGAATGAAAGAGGGATATAAATATTATTTCTTATAAAAAAATTGTATTGATCCATTCACTTTTCAATAAGTTATAGCATTATAAAGTTAAAAATGTAAAAAATAAAATCAAGAATTTTCACACAAAAATAGCATTTGGTAGCTATTTTCACCATGAAGACAAAATAAAGTCCGAATTTTTTTTTTCCTTGATAAAGAATATTACATTAGTTTTAATTTTCAACCTTTTTTTAACCTCCAATCTTCCGGAACATTTTCAAAAGTCAAGTTAAAAAAATTAATTTTTTGTGAAAAAATTGTCATTTTAAACCTACCCCTGTGGGCAGGTAAAGGGTTAAATTTATAAAAATAATATAACAAATAATAGGTAAAGACATCAAGCAGCTATAAAAAAAAAAAATATTGATATGTTCATTTTTGAAAAAGTTACGGCAGTTTTTAGTAAAAAAATTTCGAAAATTAGCAAATTTTAAATTTGTAATTGTTTTGGAGGTTTCCCCCATTTACGGGAAACGAGGGAAATTTTTTCAATTTTTGAGGGTTATGTCTTCGACTAGATACGATTTGTGATCTTTTGACATATTGTTGAAAGAAAACGGTTCGGTGAGAGCTGAGAAAAGTAGTAACAGACACAAAAAAAAAAACACATCATAGTAAAATTAATACCTTCTCTGCTTCGCATCGAAGCTAACATGAAAATTATTGTTATGAAAATCCATGTTTATTTTTCAGTTAAAGCAATACCTAACATAATAACGGTCAGAATTTAGAATCGCCTCAAAAAAAAAAATGAGATATTAGTAAAAATTATTACACCGATAAAGAAGTATATTACATTAGCTTTAATTTAATATAAATATAAAAGTGTCAGACTTCCGGAACACTTTCAAAATTTAAGTTAATAAAGTTAATTTTTGGTGAAAAAATTGTCATTTTGAATCCTCTCCTGTGGGTAGCTAAAGGGACAGATTTATAAAAATAATATAGCAAACAGTAACGATATCATGCATCTATAAAAAAAATCATATCGATTTAGTAATTTATAAAAAAATTATGGCAATTTGAAGTAAAAAAAATTGAAAAATGTCAAAAAATAACAATTTTAAAATTTGTAATTTTTTTGGATATTTCCCCATTTACAGGGAACGAGGAAAATTTATTCAATTTTTGAGGGTAATGTCTTCGACTAGATACGATTTGTGATCTTTTGACATATCGTTGAAAGAAATCGATTTGGTGAGAGCTGAGAAAACTGGTAAGACAAAAAAAAAAAAAACGCATCATAGTAAAATCATTACATTCTCAGCTTCGCATCAAAGTTAATATACTTTAAATTTATTTTACTGAATTATTACTATTTTTAATTTATTTAATTAAGAATAAAAATCTTTTTTTAATATAAAAAATAAATTTAATAATATAGTTAAAACTAAGGGTCGCATGCAATAAATCACAATTTTATATTGTTTGAATATAAAATAGCTACAGAGGGTTTAGGTAAATGTGAAATAAGTTATAAATAGTTAAGCCCCAAGTTCATGTTATATTCGCGTGTTTAAGAAACATTTCAGATCAAAGATATTCATACTAAATTTTAACGGTTTTGAATTATACTTGGCATTTGGCTAAATTGTAGATTTATTAGTATACAGCATTAAGAGCACATTTTTTTTCGAAAAGTAATTTATAATACTAACTTAAATATAATAATTTGTAGTGTCCATAGAATATTTCATATTGTTTATAATAAAAAAACACTTCAGATGAAACAAAACAATACATTTTTTTTTAGTTACTAATTTGAGTCATTTTAAACGAAAAAGTTCAATTTGAGAAATTGGCTATGCGTGATATAAGAATGATCTATGTCATTAATTAATTAATTATTATTGAGTTAAAGCTATGATTAATTTTTGTTATTAATATTCTTAAAAATATATACTGGAATTTTCGGACNATGCGTGATATAAGAATGATCTATGTCATTAATTAATTAATTATTACTGAGTTAAAGCTATGATTAATTTTTGTTATTAATATTCTTAAAAATATATACTGGAATTTTCGGACATATCTTGTACATTATATATTTTTGATTTATAGATGACAGTTGTAAAAAAATTTTTTTAATTAGTTAGGAATATCCACGTGGAATTTATAATTTATTAACTTCTTAGAAAATGTTTACTTTTATTGATTCGTTATAAAAGGATTATTAATTTTAAAACTTTTAAGTAATTTTATGGAAATTATTTTTGACATACATATAATAAAAAAATATGACCTACATATTTTTAAGGAAAGTTGTAACCTCCAAATAACAATTTTATAAATTAATGTTATAAAATCATTTTTACATAATGATAACACTATAACATTATATGTTCTATTAATACTATAAAAATGATTTTATAACATTATTTTAGCTTCGATGAGAAGGAAAAGGTATTGGTTTTACTATGATGTGTTTTTTTTTTTTTTTTTGTGTCTGTTACCACTTTTTCTCAACTCTCACCGAACGGATTTCTTTCAACGATACGTCAAAAGATCACAAATCGTATCTAGTTGGAGAAATTACCCTCAAAAATTGAAAAAATTTCCCTCGTTCCCCGTAAATGGGGAAAACCTCCAAAAAAATTACAAATTTAAAATTTGCTAATTTTCGACATTTTTTAAATTTTCGAAATTTTTTTACTAAAAACTGCCGTAACTTTTTCAAAAATGAACATATCAATATATTTTTTTTTTATAGCTGCTTGATGTCTTTACCTATCATTTGTTATATTATTTTTATAAATTTAACCTTTTACCTGCCTACAGGGGTAAGTTTAAAATGACAATTTTTTTAACTTGACTTTTGAAAATGTTCCGGAAGATTGGAGGTTAAAAAAAGGTTGAAAATTAAAACTAATGTAATATTCTTTATCAAGGAAAAAAAAAATTTGGACTTTATTTTATCTTCAGGATGAAAATGGCTACCGAATGCTATTTTTGTGTGAACATTTTCGATTTTATTTTTTTATTTTTAACTTTATAATGCTATAACTTATTGAAAAGTGTATGGATCAACATAATTTTTTTATGAGAAATAATAATTTTTAATAATCTCTTTTTCATTCGACATACTTTATCTTAATCAGGATATTAATAAGGAACTAGCAGTTTATGAAGCTTTTGGAATTATCCACCAATTTTTTAAAATTAAACACTATCTAAAGTTTTGCATCGAGTCGTTTTTTTTATAGTGATTTTAATTACTGTCAGATATCATTATACTTGATCCAATTGTGCAACGTCACCACTGTGCTACGACCCCCCTGTGCTGGGTTTTTTTTTAAAACTGATATTTGGGTAATTATTTGTTAGTCTTAATAGACTGAAGGCAATTACTTATTATCTAGTGGCTATCTATATTAGATACTAAAATGATTTTATTTTGTGTATCATGTAACATAAAACAATTATTTGTAGTTTAACAGTTTATATTTTAAGTTTTTAACACAAAGTTTTTTATATATTGCAGTTATTTTTATAGATATATTAAAAAATAAACAGTTAAATATTTATGATTTTTTGGTCTTAATAAATAGTATTTTATCAAAGTAAATATCACTTGTAAATTTATCTAAGTTGAATGAATCATAAACCCTAAACATAAATTAAAAAGCATCAATAACAAAAACTATTTTATTTATGTGTAAAATATTAGATTTTAGTCAAGTAATACAATTTCTTGAGTTAAATTAGGCATATAATTTGTTTTTCATTAATAGTCCTAGGTTTCTTTTTGTGTTATAGAGTGAACTTTATTTTACCAACACTAATATTTTTAATTTTGTAACTACTAATTTTTTTATAATCATGCAAGAGTAATTTGTAAAATTTGGCGATGGCTTACCCTTCATTTATAAGTGAACATTAAATAATAGGAAAAAATATATATAAATAATAAATTAAAAAAAAATAAATAAATTAAGTACCTAACTATAATGTTTTATGTATTTAAAATACAATGTAAAACAGTATATAAAACCTTTTTAGTACTATTAGTGTTTTTTCATAATATTTATGAATCATCCTTTTTTAGCTATTCAAATAAGATAAATTTGATGAATAACGTGTAGTAGAGTATAAATTACATTAATCCTGTAAAGAACTTATTTTGTTTAAATGACGCTATTAAATGATTAAATGATTAAATGAATAATGTTTATTATTTTACTTGTTTCAGAATGATGAAATCACAAAATATTTCATTACAAACCGATATTAAATCTTATGAAAAATCTAAATCTACACAATCACCTCAAAGAGAATATCGAGAAGTGTGGACACATAAATTAGATTTCTTATTTTCATGTATAAGTGTATCAGTTGGGCTGGGAAATGTTTGGCGATTTCCCTACTTATGTTACAAGCACGGTGGTGGTAAGCGATGAATTCAGTCGGAAATTAAATTTTTTGATTAAAAATTTTATAAAATAAATAATAGTATTATATGACTATATTTACTTTAAACTTTAATATAAATAAACATAAATTTCTGTTAGTTAAGAAGCTATTTTCACAGACAATTTATGTTATGGTAAAGTATTATACTTTAAAGGCAAATAATGAGGTTATGAGTATTAACAATGAATAATAATCAACGAATTAATGCCAATTTAACCCAAAACAATTAGTGATAACTAATAATAGAGTTGGCAACTTATTGAACCGCAGCTGCAAGCTCATTGTCATTATTAGTAATTTATGCTGTTTTAATTGAAGATGATCAGATTTTTAACGACCTCACTATAAACCAATCAAGTATTCAAATGCCTAAAGCTTATAAAAATTAATGATATTATATCAGTAATATTTTGACATTATCATATCTACTTAATTTATTTATTGGCTGTCATTAATACAATATACGAAATGTTCGAGTTATGCTTTAAAAACAGTTTTAATCTATTTCTCAAATTTGCTTTATAACTTTTTATATTCAATAATTTTATTAAATTATATAAGTACAAGATTCTAAATAGTACTTAAAGCAATTTAATTAATACTACTGTTAAATGTATACTGCATCTAGGTTAATTATTAATCATTGTTACTAAAATATAATGTATAATAATAACTTAAAAAATTTATCTGAAGTTATTCATTTAATTTAATAATTTTTAGTGTGAACTAAACATTTGATATTTTAGGTGCTTTTTTAGTAAGTTATTTCATTTCAATGGTGTTTTGTGGAATACCAATATTTTTTCAAGAAGTTGCAATAGGGCAGTATTTAGGTTCTGGGGGAATGACGTTAGTCGGAAAACTATGTCCAATACTTTCAGGTAAAAAATTTATAATGTTGTATTTTTTATAATGGATTACACTAAAGTGTATTTCGTGATCTATCGTGTAACTTTGCATGTCTATTAATGGGTGTTGCATTTTAAAAAAGCAAACTCACTCCTATACTAAAATTAATATGTTATGCATGAAAAATAAAATATTAGGGATATTACAAAAAAATAAAAGTAGCATAAGTACGTAAATAATGATAATGAACGAATAGATTGAGATAAATGGTCACTATTTAATGGTATGCTTGACTAATAAACATAGAATTTTTTAAAATTCAGAGAATAGTTATAGTAGCAAATAATTTTAATTTCTTTATTTTATAATTATTACAGGGTAAATAATGATTATCTCTTTATTTTTTGTATAAATAAATCTTATGAAAAATACGTCATTTTAATTATGGCTATAATTAAATATAAACGCAACTTTGCGTAAAATTTGTGATGAGGTTGTAGTGAATAATATAATAAATTATACCAATTATATTATATTAACACATAAAATGAATTATTTGTTCTAATGGATAATGAGAAGAAAGACATGAACAACATAAAAAACAACTTAATCTACAATACAATTAATAACAGATGTATAATTAACAATTTAAAATTTAATGGCGGGAAACGCCACTATTAGAAACAAGGGAAAAGTTAATTTATTTCTCCCATTCACAAAAAAAAATGTCTTTATAACAGTTTCTATAATTTAATTTTAATTTTTTGAGAAGTTTTCATTTCAAGAGTTCAAGGGCTTAGCCTCTCAAGTATTGTCTATATTGTAATAATAAACTTTATTGTAATATAAAAACATCTTATGATTTTAGGTACAGGTTATGCGACGATGACAATTGTTTTCTTATTGGACGTTTATTATTGTGTCATTGTTGCTTGGACATTATTTTACTTGATGACTTGTTTCATATCTTTTCCATCATTACCTTGGGATAGTTGTGGTAAGATTTCTATAGAATGTATTTCAATCTAATAACTATTTTGTATCTTTAATATTTTACTTTAGATAATTGGTGGAATACAATACATTGTTCAAAACCAAATGACATAAATAAATTATTTAATAATACATTTAAATATGATATAAAACAATTGTTGAACGCATCATTTTCTCAAAATCACAACTTTAAAATGATACATTCAGTTCAATTTAATGGATCTCAATCATTCACAGAGACTTCATCAAATTATTATACAAATTTTTCTGATTTTTGTAATGTTCTCAAATCTTCATTCTTTTTGGATGACTCAAAAGACGTGACACTTTTACAAAATGTTACTGTTAATTTAAAACTCGAAGGAGATTCTAACGTTTTGAAACAGATTCATAACTGTTTAAATATATCTTCAATAACACCTGCTGAAGAATATTGGGAGTGCGTCATATCTACCAGTGTATAATATATTTCCAGAATTATTCATAATTCGGAGTGTTGTTATAGGAATAGAGTGCTAATGTTGTCAAAAGGAATTGAAGAAATCGGAGGAATCCAATGGGAATTATTAATATTATTAGGAGTTTCGTGGATCTTTATTTATTTCATTTTGGGAAAAGGTCTTAGTCAAAGTGGAAAGGTATCTAAGAGTTAAATATCATTTGGTGTACCTAATTATGTAGAATTTCAATGCTTATAAGTATTGTGGTAATTATTATTCATAGTATTAATATACTGGTATGTTTTATTAACAAAAATAGATAGTTTGGGTTATAGCTATGTTTCCCTATTTGATTATGGGAGCTTTACTCATTCGAGCAGTGACATTAAAAGGTGCTGGTGACGGTGTTTCTTTTCTTATAACTCCACGATGGAAAAGTCTTATGAACTCAGATACATGGATTGAAGGGACCACTCAGATATTCTTCGGCTATAGTGTTGGTGTAGGAACATTACCAGCTCTAGGTTCATTTAATCGCTTTCATCACAATTGTTACAGGTATTATAAATATCGAAAAATATTTAGTTTTTCTTTAATTAATTTTAAATTTAAATAGGGATGCAATCTTGACTTGTTTCATAAATACAGTAACTTCAATCATACCTAGTTTGATAACATTTAGTATATTAGGCTTTATTGCCAATTCTCAAGGGACTACTGTGAAAGATGTAGTTGAAAGCGGACCTGGGTTGGTTTTTATAACATATCCTCAGGTGGTGCTTCAGTTGCCTGGAGCAAGAATGTGGGCAATCGTATTCTTTGTTATGCTTGCTGTAGGTATGGTTGCATGTGTAATTTCACATGCTATACACATGTACATGCACACGATTTTTAGCTTTTTTTAAATTTCTAGATGATTGGAATAGATAGCGAGTTTTGTAATGTAGAGTCATTCATAACTGGATTGATAGATAAATGGCCAAAATATTTACATGATAAACGAAAAAAATTCACTATGTTTGTATGTGTTGCAATGTTTATACTAAGTTCGTTAATGGTAACTAATGTAAGTAACAGTATTATCCAAGTACACAACATTACTCCAATAAAATTTTCATAAAATTAATTAATTATTTGTGCAAGAGATCAATAATAAAAATCAACTTATTGGTTTAAATATTGATTTTTATCATACTAAACTATCAAAATTTGCAAGATATAAGTCATTTTCTTGTAATTTTTAATTACATTAGATTTTATTATTAAAAAGTTATGATTCAATATCAAATTTAATTATAGGGTGGAACGTACATATTTCAACTTATGGATACATACGCTGCATCAGGTGTATCATTACTTTGGGTGTGTTTCTTTCAAACAATAGCGATATCATGGTGTTTTGGAGCCAATCGTTTTCAAGATTGTATAAACCAAATGTTAGGTTTCCGACCGAATATTTTTTGGTACATTTGTTGGGTTTACCTTGCTCCTTTAGTAATGATTGTAAGATAACATTTATTTTAAAATACGAAAACTGTATACGAGTTTTCTAAAACGTAATTTCATTTTTTAGACTGTATTTGTGTTTTTTATAATAAAATATGAGCCTGTTACATATGGCAAATCATACACTTACCCATGGTGGGGTGAAGGATTAGGAATTTTCATTTCTTTATTGTCAATGATTTGGATACCTTTATATGCATTGTATTATTTAATAACACAACCTGGAACTTTACAACAAGTGAATTTTTAATGTTCAATAAAAATTCTTAATGTCTTATTTTTTATATTTTTAAACTTTTTAGCGGCTTAAACGAGGAATTACACCAATTTCAGAAATTCAATGTAGAGAGAAAACTTCTGATAAAATTATTGGTAAAGAAATTAGCATACAACTAATGGAATATAATGGTTTAGTTTATAATTGTGATAGTGATAACACTAAATCAATTTGAAAATGTATCTAAAAGGCATAAGATTAATTTCCTTTTTTTATGAAAACTTTTTAGACGGTATCTATTTATAATATTATCTAGTTATAGTTACCTCGTAAAAAATCTACTAATGGAGTCAAAGTTCTAGTATGTATATGAACTTATAAAACACAAGTAATATTGAAAAGGAAATAAATGTATTTTTTATATTTAATTTTCGAGAGCAAGGACTAATTTTTGAAGATGTTTGTACCTAATTTTTTTTGAAAATATTATAACTTATAGACATTAATAAATATTAATAATGTTGGTGTAAAACATTAACTTCTAAATTCAATTATTTTAAATTTTATTAAGGCCATCTAATTAAAACTGTTGAAGTATTCAAATTGTACCATGCACCAAAATCTCGTTTATTACTGCATTTTTTTTTTTTAGATTTTTCTGATGAAAATTTGTTAATAATATGAAATTAAAAAAAAAAACAACATAAGATAAATTCCTAAAATATATTAATATTTTTTGTATTCACAGTCGGGTGTAACTTAAGCATTAATTCGAAGTAAGTTTAAAGCTTAACTCTAACCTGTAATAGGACAAAAAAATGTATTATTTATTGACAAAATATCTTATAAGTTATAATTTGGCAACATATTTATTTGTTCTATTTAGACATTTAAAATATATAGTTCATAAAATTTAATGTAAATTTTGTATTTAATACATGGCCACTTAAAACAATTATTCTTTCAAATTTTTATGTAATTAAACAATTAATTATAAAAATAATAAATTGTGGTCTAAGTATGAAAATTATATTTTAGTATCTAAACGTCGATTGTTTATTAATATGAAACATTAACACAATAATAAATTAAAATTTCATGACGGCATACATATTTACGTATAAGAACGTCAATAGTTTTAAAAACTAAAGAAGAATTTTTAGGTTCATACATTTTTTAAATAAAACTTGAATTATTATCATTTTGTTTGTTTGTATTTTATTTTTCAAAGAAGTTATTTCCAAATCGACATATTTTATGTTCTAACTTCGATGAGTTTATTTTTAAAAAATTGTTGTTATTACAAGGTCAGATTCTAGTTTTACAAAATGGTATCAACGATTATTCTAGAATAATTTTTGTACATTGACGTTTATATAGGTGTCAAATTTTTTACAAACCGCTTTTAAAGTAAAAAAAAAACGATAGCAAAGTGAGGTAACAGAAACTGGACGTGAGATAGTTGAGACAAGTATAGATGATATCGGATAGTGATTGTAATCACTGTCATAAGAAACGCTTCGATGCAAAGCTGTAGTTTTTAATTCTAAGAAATATGCATATTTACAAAATCATATCCTCATTAGAAGTTCTTATATTTAAAAGTATAATTGATAAATAATATTTTTTATAGCAATTCAATATATTATCAAATTAATATTTAATATTGTAATTTTTATGGAGAAATAATAAAAAATGAAAAAGTAGTATATTTTGTTACTTCTGTGACAAACATGTATAAAAATTAAAGGGCTCAATACTTTATAAAAAAAAAATTTTTCCCTTGAATGAATAAATACATTGGTTTAAAAGGAAATTTTACTGGAATTAAAAATATTGTAGCGACTAACGTCGTAATCAAAGAATAAAAACAATCAAACGGCCAGCTCGTTGTATGGATGGCGTAAAGCCGTTTAATCGAGTAAATTGTTGCACAAAACAAAAGAAATAATAAAATCGAACAAGAAAAATAACCAAAATTAACAATAATAATATTATTGACAAAGTCGCACTGGATGGTTGCGGTTGAATTTTTTGACGGGCGGCGTAAGTACAGAGATAGATGTCACGAAGATGACTGACTGGACGTATTATTGCGGCGGGGTATACGACGCTAGGCATTTGTTGGACTTTACACCACGACGATAACGCGTGTGTGTGACGGTCCGGTTTACAGTTAAGCGATGGCTGAGAAGGAGCTGACACGACCGCGGGGTGTCAACGTGTGACAACGCCGTGGCCGTGTCAAATACCCCCCCACCAAGCCGCCGCTGTACTCTAGAAATCAAATGAAATAGCGCATATGGCGTTCCGTGTTTGGTCGAATATATTAGAGTGCGCATAGCGCAATAACAAGCCGCAATACTTACGTTGTATGTTTGATGGAGTGGGTGGTAGTGCCCCGCGAAGTGCGCGCAGCAGGGAGGGGGTTTGGAGTATCGACCCCGCGCGTAACGCGCTCGGACGGAGAGTAGTACCGAGGAGTTTTGCTAGTCGTAGGGGTAGGCGTCGCTGCGGACCCTCCACTGCCCCTGGCGTATGGATGCTTCGG